CAATATTTTTGCATAGTGCAATCCATTAGAAGCTTGCATGGACGATTTAGCTGAGATGTTAGCTTTTTTTATGTTGGCTTTTAGGTCCAACAATATCGTAGATTGTTTTTGTTATACTAATATTTTGAAATTAAGGTCATTTTACTGAATAACAAGTAATGTATCACTTAAATCTTGAATTAAAATTATTTAAAATCTTATTAATAAAATTTTTATATCGTATTGTTCGTTATTATATATCATTATTTATGATACGCGCACACACTTCTGCAGGCACATGTATAAAACTACGTAATTAAATATTCATTGGGATTTTACATGGTCGTTAACACGTTTTATCAGCTTTCATTCTCAATATTTTATACATACAATCTACACTTTATGGTTTATTAATTAATTAAATGAATTAATATTTAATCGTTAATAATAAAATAGAAATATTAAGTACACTATGAATAAGGACACTAGGCATAAATTATTTTCAGGTTAATAATTTATTTCTTTTTAATATAAAGCACTTACTTAGTACGCACACACAATGTGTTAATTGACAATTGTTATTATGCTTGCTGTTATAATGAATCATGAACAGAAAATGAAACTGGAGGTTATCATTTTATCATATAAAGAGATGCCTTTATAATATTAAGTTATTTGTATATCAACTCAATTTTTTAAGTTTTTTTTTATAATAAAAAATTTCTATGGACTATAAAAATTTGAATTTATGAGTTGACTGGGCAATAATTTTTTTTGCAATTGAATATGGTTATTCAACTGAGTTTCAAATATTCTGCAGAATATACATTTTGAGAAATAATAAATGGCTAGTTGGTATTATTCTTCTATTCTACTACTCTTTCTTCTTGTATATTTCTTCTTTAAATTTTTCTTATCAATATTATTGCTATTAAGAAATATTATTTTTAAGGTAACAAACAATTATTTAATTTCAAAATAATTATACTGAAAACATTGTAGTTCTTGTTTTTAGAGTAAATATGAAAATAAGTAGTAGCATTTTTTAATAATAAACTAACACTACTAACACTAATTTATAATATATAAAGTATTTTATTATGAGGGGTGGTATAATAAAATACAATTTTTCATACATTAATTATATAATTTTTAACAACACAAAAAATTTAATGATACGAGTTGAAAAATTATATTAGTTGAAAAAATTTATTTTATTAATACGATTTTAAGATATCAGATTGTTAAAAACTGTATATTTTATTAAAGGTGTACTCTAGTGAAATATATACATATATTTATAGTTTGCTTTGAAAAATTTTCCATTAATCTTGGTAAAGATTATTAATATTATTAATATTAAAGATTATTAATTTATTTGGTTGCTTATTATTTAAATTTTAAAACAATTTTTTTCATGAAAAATGTTTGAAAATTGATTTATGAATATTCAAAATCAAGGCCTCAAATAAGATGTTAAAGCATAGATATAATTTGGGCTTTCAAAACGATGTAAATAAGATTTTTAAATATGTGCTTGCTATTATTATAATAAATTGCAAATGTAAGTAAAAATATAATTTAATTTGAAAATTATAAGCACTTTACTTTGGAATATCGAGTTTATAATTTTTTTCTTTTACATAATTAATGCTGCTATACAATATTGGTAAATATTTACTACGAATTTGTTTTATTTACTGGTATTAAAATATAATATGTAGAAGAGTACACGTGAAGTTTAAAAATATTTTAAGTTTATATTATTATACCTGCTATTACTTTGCTATGCTTGAGCTGTTGAATGGTTCCTTTTTTTTTAAAATAGTTTCCATGTATTTTCAAGCAAAAAATTCAATAAAAGATAATAACAATTCATTAGTATTTTGAATTTTAGAGCTCAAAACCTTTATATTAAATTAGCAAACTAAGATTTCATATATTATTTGGGCAATTTACAAAACTTTATCAATGGTTGATTCATATTATAGATATCAATGATGGAATTACTTCAACTTGATCCCATTTTTATCAATATTCTTTTGGCTTTGTAATCATATATCTTTGTATTATTTTATTGTATTATTATTCTATGAACAATAATAGTACTATTGATTTTTAACATTTTAATTCATATAATAAATACTTTATTGTTATCCATAACGGAATTAGAATTAATTTTTATAATTAAATTATAATTCCAATCGATTTCGTTTACGACTTTCGGTTAGTCTGCCATGCATTTGTCAATATTAAAAATTATAATTGATGTAATTATAATTTCATTGCATATTTTAAATGATAAAAAAACTCATTATAAATGATTGGTTTCTGTCATTTTACACAATATTTTGTTTTTTTTTTTTTTTTTTTTTTTTTGAATTTTATACTGCATTGTATTTATATTGTACTGCATGACTACATTGTGATTTAAAGTTCGTATAAGTATTAGAAAATATTTGAACTGATATTTATTTTTTCGTGAATTTAATTGATAACACACTCATATGTTATCGAGAATTATCACTTTGTTTTATATAAAATACATGTTTATTATATGAATTATGAATCTATGTAATGTAACTGTTTCTGTAATGTATTTTTTTTCTTCGTTTTACAAATTTTAAAATTAAATAAAACTTTATTTAGGAGAGTAATATATAAATAAATTTTTATTTCTAATACGTCAGTATAACTATGTATTTTATAACTTTTTAGTATTATTTTTAATATTAATTGGATTCAATTAAAAAGTTAATTATTTGTTAAATTTATTAGTTGCCTCGGGTATATGTTCTTTTAATTATTGGAATTATTATTTTATTTTATAATCTACATTTTTTATTTTAAGGTGCATTTAATTCATTAAATCGAAACTTAATCTTTTGTTTTAATTTGAGATAAATTTAAAATTACCTAATTTAAGAAAAGTATTATAATACAAAAATAGATAAACAAAAAATTATTAATTTTTCGTTGGTTTTAGTTTAGTTTAGTTAGTTAAATTTTAGTTTTATTAATAAATACACATGTATGACATAAAACTGTAATTTTTATTAATTTAAGTCTTTTCAAGATACAACACTCAATTCTCTAATTTTTGTCAATTTATATTTCAGATCTTTCTTAATTATTGTTATTATTTAATATAAATATGACAAACAAAAGAAACAATCAAATCAAATCATATATTCGTAGTATTGATAATAAACATTTAATTTTAGAAATATAAATATATATCCATTGTAATAAAATAATAAACAATTAGTTTATTTTCGATCTTGATAAATTCTGAAACAATGATTTTAGAAATATATTTAATGCTGCATTAATAATTATTAGACAATTCATTTTTTTTTAGTTGGTTAGATTATTTTCATTTTATCATTACGTTCTTGAAAGTTATGAAATTAATACATCATTTAAATATGATTTGGGAAGAATAATTTCATATATAATTTTTTCATTTCAAATTAAAAATAAAAATATTTCGTTTAAAATATATGAATCTTCACTTTTATATCGTTAAATGAAATTTCAAAAATGTTCTTTAAACCTTTTAGGAAAATTGTTTCAAAATTTTATTTATTATTTATATACATGTTACAAGTATAAACATTTTATAGATATAAGGGTATAGAAGTTAACGCTATTAAGTAAACTTTCAGATTTAAATTTAAGGACTATTTTTAGTTTCATAGCATTTGTCGGCTTTAAAGATTATAGGTGACAAGCTGGTGTCAAGTAATATAGTTATATTGTAGTTTCTCGTATCAAAGCATACTTGTTCGTTTAGTTAACTTGATATGATAGTAAAGCATTAAAAAGCGTTCGTACTACATTCTCTATAGAAAAGGAATTTTGATAAATTAGAGACTGTGCATATTAACAATAACTTTGTTGTGGTTATGTATCATTGAATCTATAGTGTTTGGGTAAGATACTGTTTATACAAATTTTTTTTAAGTATTTTGTTATGGCGATTTGACCTTATATAAAATCATTAATACTGTTATATATTATCTAATAAAGACGTAATGTATTTCAAATACATAAATATAAATCTATGTAATTACAATAAAAATGTTATAATTGTAAATTAATTTGAATGAAATAACAATGTTCAATTTATGAATTATAATAATTATAATAATAAGTAATTTATACACTATAAATATTTATCGTGCGCGCGCGCGCGCGTGTGTGTAATATCGAAACATGTAATATTACTTGAACTTATAAAAATCACAATATTTAAAAATATTTATTTCAACATTGATTTCAATAGATTTGAGATCTTATAACTACATTTATTTAGACTTCAGTAAAAAGCAAATTTTTTATTGATATGAAACTTATTGGTTTTTTCTATGAAGTTATGAATATTATTTAGAATATGACAAATTCTCCAATTACAAAGATTATGAAATTTGGATTTTTTTAGTTTTTAAAGATATCTATTCAATTTTTAATTATAGAGATTAATTTGTGCGATCATTGATTTAACATAATGCATATTTATAAAGAAAAGTTTATATTTTTACATTATTGATAAAGCAAAATTAAGCAATAATAATTTTGAATTTGTTTTAGTTTTTATTTACTAATTGTACAAAAGAATTATAAATAATATTCACAGTTGTTGGTAATATGTAATAATATAAAATAATATAAAAAGATTATTTATAATTTCTATTTAACTAACAGCATAAGATTAATATTTTAATATATTAAAAATATGTAGGTAAGTGCCGAACCGTATAATATATTTATTGATACATAAAATATAAATTGGTGATTTGAAAATAAAAAGCTATTCATTTTAGATAATAAAACGATAGTTTTCTTTAATAATTTACATAATTAATTAATTATATATTCAGTGAACTTGAAAAGCTTAAGTGTTATGTATATTTTAAAATATTGTAATTATAAATTAATTCTAGCTATTATAATATTAGAATATTTCTAAATATTTATCATATCGTCATTATTTATATTGATTATTTTTTTGTTAAAAGCTTGTGGACCAGATGATTTTGTGTGCAATAACGGTCAATGCATAAAGGGCAGTTTGCATTGTGATGATCGACCGGATTGTTATGATCATTCAGATGAAGAAAATTGTTGTAAGTAAAGAAAAGATCTAATCATGAAAAATAATTAATAGTTTTAATTTTAAATTACAACTACAATTATATAAATTCTTAAGTTTGGTTCAAATTATTAACATACTTATTTAAAAGAATATAACACTATTGTACATAATTTTTCATTATTTTTATAAAATGCAAACTATTTGTAGATGAAATCTTAAAATTTTGTTTTAAGATTTATTGAAAAATTTATTGAATTTTTTAACTTTTAATAATTGGATATTTTTCAATACTTGTATATCTTTATTACGTATTAAATACAAATGTTATAATAGAATTATATATTGAATTATGTATAATTTTATTGAATTAGTAAATTAGTATTTAATAAATTAGTGTTTATTTATGATAAATTGATATTAAAATAGAATAAAGAATTTAAGTATTATATTATCTTAATTCATTATCTTTTGATAGTTTGGCTCCTAAGAAAAGTATAACTAATATGTAAAATATAATTGAATCTTACATCATTTATATTTATTTATAATTAGACGCAAATATATAATAACATACTATTATGTACATTAATTAAAATAATATAAATATTACTTTCATATTAATATGCATATATAGGTGTATACTTTATTTTTGTCATTATAAGCACTTTTTTTATGAAAACAACGGGAAAAATATTATTGTGCAAGATTAGATTTCCAGAGAATTTTATGATCAACGCTGAAAAAAGTTCTCAGATATATTTTAAAGCTTATTTAATTGAATTCAGATATTTAAGATTGTACTAATTATTTGAATTAATAGTAATAATAAGAATATTCGGAGTTTTTGTGGAAAATAAACATCTTACAAACTGCTAAAATTTCCGTATTTTTAAAATGCGATCATTATTTTTACATTCATTCCTTAACTTATTAATTGTTCATTTTCTTACTTTGTTTATTGTAGTAACTACTTGTAGCAGTGATGAATATCGTTGTTTAGAAGGAATTTGTATCAGTATCGACAAACGCTGTAATGATTATCCAGATTGTCGAAATGGAGACGATGAGGATTCATGTGGTAAGTTTTATTCGCTCTTATTAATCAGTACTTTTCATAATAATCATTTTCAATTTTTTCTATTTCAAAATCCTAGAAAATGAGAGACTGTTCTTTTGAACGGTGCTAATAATAAAAAAAAAGATTTTATCCATAATTGTGCCTGCTTACATATACTTACTAATCTATTTTATATATGTAATTATTTTTCAGCTTATTTCATCTATAGCGGAGAATAAAATATAAACTAATTAAGTGTGCTTTCAAAATTGTGGCCCCGTTTATAACATTTTGCATATTTTTTGGCTAATACATTTAATGTTCTTCCAGGAAAATGTTAGTGTTCGCAATTAATTAATTAATATAATTCTCATTATTTATAGTATAATAATATAATAATCTAATATAAGAAAATAATAACTGTAATGTAGAGATCCATGTTATTTTTTATATTCTTTCTATATATTTTAATTCTTATTGGTCACAAAGTATACATGTACAAGAACATTTATTAAGAAAAATATTTAATACGAATAATACTGAAATCCATGAATGCGTAAAATGATTTTTAGATTTAATTTATTCTAAGTCTCCTATCAATTTAATATCATTTATCAATTTCATATTAATTAAATTTACTTCGTAAATAATATTAACAATTAGTTATGAACGTCGTCTTAGACAAAGAATATCTACTTAAAAGTAATTTTGATAGAAATATTAAACTTTACTATATACTTTACTAATTAGGTGTTACGGCTGAAAATGGATTAATATTCAATTTTAAACAAGCATATTTATTAATAAATATATTATAAATAATTTTTCGGTAAATGAATGAATGTGTCAGGATAGTAGTGTAGTGCAAGATTTTGGTCAATTAAAATTCTTTGCAATTATGATTGACATATAACAGTACGTAATTAAATTTACCTTTTTTATACTATATCTGTAAATGCAGGTATTGCATATACAAGTATAATGATTTAACAAAATTTAAACAAAACTATAATTTGAACATTATCATTCAAAAAGTATCTCTTAGTAAAACTTAAATGTACAGTTGTTTTCATTTAATTCTAACATTATTTAATTGTTTACAATACTGACGATGGCGAAATATTTCAGACTTTTACATTAATTTTTTTATTTTTAAATAGCCTATAAACTTTGGATTAACTATATTTTTAATTAATTTTCTTTGACGTTGCAATTTTTTTAATAAAGTTTTACGTTTATATTAATTAACTGATAATTCAAAATTAAATATTTATTAATAATAGTAATTTTAGTATAAAAGTAAAACTTTACCAACCGATACATATTATTTAAGTTAGTCAATCATTCAAATAGATCATTCTTGGATATGAAAATTATTCTCAAATTGACATATTTAATTTTAATAAAAACATTATTTAAATCAAATAATTTGTAAAATGTAATAAATATAATATAGTATTTCTCAAGTATTATACTATGGATTGAAAATACGAAAAAATCGCAGTTTAGCAGGAAGACTTGACTGACTGAATAACAGAGTGATCTCTTGTGTAAGAGATTGCAATATTGTTTCGATGGAATAAATCACTCGTTACTGATAATAATATAAATGGGGACAAAGTCTAAGATTGTTGTATAATGCAGTTTACTACTTTAACCAATGATATCATAATTATTTTTTAAAATCAAATTATTTAAATATGGGTTTTTTATTCTATTAATTATAAAGTGGCAATATTTCGAGGATATGATTATTTAATGAACATTATTAGTATCTTTATACATTCAATAAAGATCGTAATATACAGTAAAAACTGATTTTATTTCGTAATAACATTACCGAGATACGTATTAAATTTAATTTATATGTAATATACGTTAATTATGTAATTTAATGTAAAAGATAACAAAGTTAACAAAAAGTTTTTATTATGTTTTTTGAAATATTTATATTGCAAGTTTGTTTGAAATATGTTAAAAAACCAGTCATGGCTGAGATATGATTCATTAAAAAATTTATTTTATCTGTAATTTAATTTTTATAAATTAATTAAAATCTTGTTGATTTATTGTTTTTGAGATTTTTATTTAATCTTTAACTGGAAAATAAAATTTTAAAGTTATGTATAATGAAGGTCAATGAGTAGTTTTATATTATACGAATTTTATTAAATATTAAAATTTTTGTCTCTTATCGCGATCAAATATATTTATCTACTTATCTATCTATCTATGCATATTTATACACACACACACACACACACACACACACACACACACACACTTAATTTTAATTTAATTTAATTTAACTTAAAATTTAATTAAGATAAGAGATATTACAGTATTATATTTAGATGGATTATGAATATGTTTCTTAAAATATATTTATAAAATTATTATAATATATTTTTTAAAAGTTTCAACTTAATGTTATATAGTTTTGTTAGATAGAAACACTATAAACTAGAGAAATTTATTTTTATTTTAATTCATTATTTTGAAAATAAGTAAGTACTAATTGATTACTAAAAAGTAAGAAAAAACCAAGTTAATATAATTATTTTAATAACCTGATTCAGATATTTATGGTAATATGAAAGATTAAATTACAGCTATTTTTCTATTAAGAATCTGTAAAAATAATTGATCATGATAATAACTAAGCTCAGAATATTTATTCGGCGTTCAGTCATTGGGTTTATATTATAAATACATGTCATTTAAGACATTGAGATATTCTCGAAATTATCATTTTTGTTAACCTACATTAAAATTAAACAAATATATTAATTTTTATATTTTTTATTTACTCGAAGAATCTTATATGCTTGAATATTACATTTAATTTTTACATATATATATTTTAAAAATATTTATCAAAACTATTCATAGTTGTAAATTATAAGGACTATAAAAATTGATAATTATCCATCTTCAAAAAAATTTAATTTAATTTTAAGCTGTCTACAGGGTAAAATTAGTAGAATCGTGACATTAGAGTAAAAATTCAAGATGTGTTCGCACATTCTTTATGCCACTTCTTAGCAAATATTGCATGATTTATCATTCAATATAGTATATAACAAAAAGTTTTATTTACATTGAGATAAAATATAAGTGCAGGGGAAGCAAACATTGATTTCTAATAATCAGCGTATTATGAAACGGATTACAGTAGACATCATTTTAGATTTTGTTTCTAATCTTCATATAAATACGTTGAAAAAGTATAAAAGTAATTTAATATTAATAATAAAATGCTTAATTATATTTCGCATTGATGGTATATATATATATATATATATATATATATCAAAAGGCTTACAAGTTATATAACCTTTAGAATATTTTATTATATAATATGTTTTAATATTTTGGTAATTATAAATCTAGTAGATATGCTTGTAATACCGTTTATATAAATTTTTTTTTTTAATTCTTTGATATTTTTGTAAGTAATGAATATTCCGTATATATTGTAAAAATTGTTAAAATTGTCAATGAAAATAATATATTTTATATTTTTTTATGTTGAAATTTCCTTCTCAATAAATAATTTATTATTTTAAAATAATTTTAATCTTACATTATTATATTAAAATGATTTATATTAAAAATTTCTCTACATGTATTAACAATAAGACATTACTGCATACTTAAAAATAATAAAATAAAATATCGAATGAACCAGTTGTTATATATGAATAAAGTATTTATTTTATATATAAGGATTATTAATTTAATTTATTAAACGTTTAAAGTTTAATAAACAATGGATTTTTTTTCCATATAAAATATTTTCAATTTTTCCTCGTTTAGGTCATTAGAATTTTACTCATGTCTTTAGAATCTAATTTTAGTAATAATCTATGAACCGAAGTGATACAAGCGAAAACCGATATTATGTCTCACAAGTTTTATTGACCATCAAGTATTAAGTTACAATTTAATTTAACAATGAATCTAAAATCCAGCATATATCTGGAATTGTTTTTAAATACATTAATCTTTTCGAATTTTATTTTTTGGTAGAATTTCCGTTTATTGCAATATATTTATTTATTACAAATTAATATGATTTTCATTTACGAATTAGATTGCAGACCCGATGATTTTTATTGCGAAGACGGAAACTGCGTTTCTTATAGCTCGCTATGCAATGGGGTTCAAGAATGCAGAGATGGCTCTGATGAAAAAGATTGTGGTAATTATTTTATCACTGAAAATTAGTTTTTATTTTATAATGGAACATTCAAGATGTAAAGATGATTAAAATACTTGTAATTGTCGATAGTATATTTAATTATTTATATGTCATTGAGCAAATGCATTTTATTATAGTAATTCATAATAGGATTCTGATAACTTTGTTAATATTTTGATGGAAGTAAGGAATTAAATTAGGACTCATTCTTAATAAAGGCATTACTAAAGAAATATTGTTATTCAAAAACAGCTTGGTTAATTAAATGTTTATTTCATCCAAATAATTCTCAGACTTTGCACCTTGCCCTCCTACGGACTTCACGTGCGGTGATCGTTCTTGTATTCCAAAGGCATTGGTATGTGATGGAATAGACCACTGTTTGGGCGCTGAAGATGAACTTCGTTGCGGTACATTCTCGATTACAAACAAATTTTGTTTAATCATATATAAAAATTTTTTACTGAAGCATTATAATTAAAGTTGACATGTTATTTCATTAAGCTTAACATTAATGTTATTTATTTTTTTTTAATTATGTCATTCATATTACTTGATTGGATTCATAATAAATTGTTCTATAATTTTTAAATTTTCTATAATTACTCTTCTTATAAATAACAATCTTAATATTTCACAATAATTATATTAATTTTATTTAATAAGTTTCACATTAATAATAATTGCTATTGAATAATTTAAATAAAATGATAATGTTAATTAGTTTGAAAAGATTTGCATTTGCAATCGATTAAGAATTTCGAATTTTGTTATTTGTCGATTTAATAATGTTGCATTAAAAAATTTTTTTCTTTTATTGTTTATTATGTATATTTTTCGTCAATAGAAAAAAACTGTACACCGACCCAATTCAAATGTGTGAGTGGAAATAAATGTATAGAAAGCGTCTACAGATGCGATGGTTATCCAGACTGTCCCGATAGAAGTGATGAAGATTGTCACAATGGCTCTTCTAATGGATCTATAATATATGATTCGTCAACATTATCTAGTATGATATTATTTCGCTTGTTTTCCTTTTTCTCAAATACTGCCACTGCCTTAGAAACTAATAACCATAAATTTGGATTGAACACTCACATGAATGCATAATTCATAGTTTTCTGCAAGACGTAAAAGCATGGTATTTCATATTAATAATAATTTACGTTTCGAATTTTTTGTCTGAACTTGCATGTGACAAAGACATATGCGGATTTTTATCTTTAATCTTTAAAGCAATTCTTCCAATAGTTTTTATATTTCCAGTAATAATTTGACTTTCATTTAGTTCAAAGCATATATTTATTATAATATCCATTTTACAATGTATTCATTTAATATAGTTTAGAATATAAATAATTCACAAAATTTTAGTTTATATTTTTTTTTACTTAAGATACGTAAATTTTTCATTCGATAATGAGCACAACATATCTATCATTACTTACGAGTGTTTAATTAGCGTAAAGAACTTTGATTTAATTTGCTAACATTTTAATTATGCAATAATTCTTGTCATTCGTCAAGACACATTTTATATTATATGGGGGCATTAAAAGAATATTTTTGTCCTTATATTATTGCATTTTGTTTTTTACTTTCCTTATTTTCGTGTATAAGGAATCAATAAAATTTTACTACATATAAATATTGTAAAATAATTTTATTAGAAAATAATAAGATCTCTATATTGTAAGGAATATAAAATAAGTTTCATTAAAAATTGTTTAAAAGACAGTTACATTTTAATACCAAATAGCTAATAAAATTATTGCTCTCATACGGTATATTATTTTAATAAAACATTACCATTTTTTCTCAATAATATTTAAAAAATATGTTTGCTAAACTAAATATACTTAACTTCTTTATAATAAAAAATGAAGATACATTTGTATATAGACGTGCATGCATAATTACGCAGGTAATAACGTGTGTCCGTGCATATATGAATATAAAATTTATACATACTTATAATCACGTATAAATAATATGGTTTATGCATTATATAAATTAATGAACGAATATGTTCAAATATTATAATTACAGTTCTATTATTTAATATTTAAAAGTCAAACGTAAATTTATAAAATTATTATTTTTGTTGTCTAATGAATATATTAATGATAGAAGATCTAAGCTAAGGCGTAGTCTTTTAAGATTTCAGAACATATTTATAAAAATAAATTCAACTTAATTGTTTGATTTAAATTTAAAAATAAAAAATGATTTATCGATTAATAAATATTTAATAGGCGATTTAAACAAATAATTTTAACTAAAATCATTTATAATAAATTATTTGATAAATAGAAATAATGTAGAAATGTTTAAATACTAAATAGCTGTTTTATACGTATTTCTGTTTATAATTTTATATTAATGGATGAAATGAAAAATATTGCTAATATTAAATATCTACTTCATAATACAAAATGTATTTCATTATAAATCAATTAAATTTAGATTTTCAAGACAAACAACCAGCTACATTTCATATAATGCTAAGTAATTATATAAAAAAGTGACTTTAATTTATAATATTGTTACGTATCATTTAAAAATATTTACTTTTAATCGAGCACTTTTTATTTAAGTTATATGTTTGAAAATAAAACATTACATATTGTAATATAATTTCGATCATAGTTCAACTTTTGTTTATCTATATCATATTATGTGAAGTTTATATATGAGTTTTGTCAATCGATGTTATTACTTATTTATTAACAATATTCTACCGACAAATGTATATTTTAAGATAAAAATATGGAACTAATACATTGCAGCCATACGAACACCATAGGTTACCGAACTCGTGATAAACCATGATCCAGCTGTACCAAACAGGATTTGACTCTGGCGCAATAGTGAATAATATATTATCTCATTAATAATATTTATGTTAAATAAATTTTCTATTATTTAAAATAAAATTAATATCAGCTGATTTTCCATAAATTTTTCTCTAATTTTGACATTCATCTTCTTCTAAATAACTTTGTTCACTCTATTACTGTTAAAAGAGTGATATTATTAAGTATATAATGATAGTTCATATAGTATCATGAATTGTGCGAAGAATAAGAAATCAAACGATCCATTTTAAACAGGTGAACATAAATCAAAATGAAATATTAAATATCAATTTGTTTTTATATAAAGTGAAAAACTTAATAGATTTAATTAACAAAAATGTTCGTATATCAATAAAATATTAATAATGTCTTATTAATTAATAATTCTTAATTAATCAATAATTAGGAAAATCTTTAATATTGATTTTAAATTAATTAGAAAGTATTATTTAACACTTAATAATGTATCATTAATACTTTACTATAAGTTAAATTATTTAATAAGCAAAATAATTATTTTCTTCCTTAGAGGAAGCTTAGTATTAACAGTTTACATAGTAAGTTTGCATTAGTATTAGTAAATTATACAATTTCCTAAATTAGTGTAGAATTTCTTTAAAATTTTCAATTTTTATCTTTATATAGTCAATCCTTAAGATTTTCGATATATTTTATGCATTTTATCTTATAAAACTTCTACTTATATTCTTTATTACATGTATGTAATTTTAAAGTTTTCTTTTAACGCTGTGAGAATATAATTGTATACATTTATTTCAATAATAACTTCTTTATGATATTTGTTAGTTGCTCTTATAATTAACAATAGTTTGAATATAATGTATTTGATGAATACAAAGTTATTTAGATAAATGAATGGTTGAATATTTACCTATTGATATTAAAACTTCAGCGTTAATCGAATACCAAATTTTCTAAACGATTACTATAATGTAAATACATTATCAATTTTATAATTGCATGATACACAGAATGAACTTCAAATTAATTTGTTATGGATTAGGTATAAATAAGTTTAATTAGTCATATTCTACAACACTATTTAAATTTTACTACTACTAAAATTTATTTCAATTTGATTTAATATATTTCGCACCAATTTATGCACAATATAAAGTGCATGATAACCAGAAAATATTCTTTTTCTTTAGTTTTAATACGTCTTTTATGCAAAATGTGCAAACATTTTTCATATTTTTAATCAATATATTCATTTTCACAAACATATTTTGCAGAATGCGAACCTGGTGAAAAACTATGTAAAAATGGAGTCTGCATTAAAAAAGATTTTTTCTGTGATGGAAACAGTGATTGCTTAGATAACAGCGATGAAAACAATTGCAGTATGACTAAATTTTATTAAAATATTGAATATATTAATGTGTATATATTGTACGTGCGTGTGCGTGTGTGCGTGTGTGCGCGTGTGGGTCTGTCTGTCTGTGCGCGCGTATGCAGTTATGTACATGTGTATGCATGCATGAAAATATGAATCTGCATTATATTATTTATTTGTTTAATATTACATACATTATTAGTTATTAATATTTTTGAAAGGATGGTAATACCATTTTACACAAGTAATATAAATAATTATTAAATGATTTAGTATTTGTATATTTTTTAGCCAACCTTTATTATAAAATTAAATATTTAAATTGAAATCAAATCTGGCACACAATAATATTTTTCTTTAGGATTTTTAAAATAAGATTTAATCTTGTTTTTCCTATTTCATAATAATTACGTAGATAGAATTTTGGCGCATAAATTATATATAAAATTAAAGAAGATATGAAATAAAAACTTCAACAATCATTGAATCTACAACATTGAATTATAACAAATAAAAACATTTGATATACTATTGTAAGATTAACTCATATTAATTAAATATTGTAAATAAACGTGTGAATAAATTTAAAACATTATACCAGTTTTTTTTTTTATAGTAGTTGCGTAAAAATCATCTTTAACTTTCATAATCAAAATCATTGCATTCGTTTCATAATTGTTTTATTTATTTATTGCATTTATACGTGGCTAATATTTTAAATATCATATAATTGCTTTTATTATTATTAGTTCTAAATTTTAGAATATGCATGAGTATGTTTATCTTTTCATAAAAAATATTATCTGCTTTTATAAAATTTAGTATACATAAACGGATGCAGAACTTATAAAAAATCTGTGCAATATAAATAATGATTCTTTTTTACTTGCTAGGATTATGAATTAATAAGAAAATCTAAATTACTGATAAATGCACTTTTATTCTGTTACAGATCATGTAAATAATTCTAGAGTGAATTATTCAGGCTGTCGAAGCGATGAATTCGAATGTTCTCCAAACTATTGTATTAATCGTTTGGATATTTGTAATGGTCGATTAGATTGTCCGAATGGAAATGATGAACAAAATTGTTCACCATATCAACGTAAGTATAAATAAATCAATCATTTATTTAAGATGCTACATATATATTTAAGTTATTTTTGGATATTTACAATGCATATACTATGTTATTCTTAATTATTCTAAAATTCTAATTTATAAGCATGTAAGATGATTTATTAATTTTCTTTTAAGCAAAGTATTAATAAATTATGTTTAGATATGTACTATATTATGTATGTTTATATAATGAAACGATTTATCCTACACTATTTCATCTAGTAAATCTAATTAACAAAAATTCTTTTCATTCAAATTCTTGATCAAATACAAGTAATTTTTATTTAATTCAATTGAATAAAAAGACTTTAGTTTATTAATATTTATTTCTTCGTGTTATTTAATAATAAGTTATATTTAAAAATATTATTGCAGTTACTTACCTTATTTCACTTAAACGTAAATTTTCCTATGGTTTAGTATGTTTTAATTAACTTCAAATACTTTATTTAAGAAATATTAAGTCATAATAATTTTATATCGATTAAGTTGATTGCAATTTTATGATAAGTATCGCGAGTAATAATTACGACTTTTATTGAATAGCTGTCATGAAAAATAATTCACAATTTATGTAAACTTTTCATTATGTAAGCTAATCATTTATAAGTAATTCTATACATGTCTTTGTATAGTTTATTGAATATTATACATGTATTATAGGTAGATATCAGTAAAAGATATTCAAATACAATATTAATATAATTTAACAATGTTGATTTAGTTACTGTTTTAATACATTTATTGTTAACATGATATAAATATTATATACAAGTGTGATTTTGATCGTGTTTTATTAATTGAATTTGTATTGTATATCAATTTTATATTTACATTTATATTTCTTCCAATTTTATACTTGGAATTTATTTCATTATATTTCACTCGTGTAATTTTTATTTATTGATTTTTATCATTTTGATACTCATATAAGTAGAAATTAAACTTCGTTATTGGATAAGGAAAAGATTGAACCTTTTCATTTATATTAGTTTCAAATTAACTGTTTAAATTTTGAGTTGTTCTTTCATCTTCATAATTTTTGTGAGAATGAATGTCATTAAATTAAATTAATTATGTAATGAATTAATCCATACGAATACTCGACTGTGTCTTTATGTATTTATATAAAATTGAATATAAATTCCAGTTGTATATTATTTATTAAATGTTTATGTTATTGCACTTTATATTTTGAAAAATTAATTGAAAAATAATATTAATTTTTTTTAATATATTTCTTTAATTTACAGCAATTAGTTTAATTTTATTTAGGTAAAATATTTTTTAAGTAAAATATTTATATTATTTGTTATTTACTTAGAAATTATAAACAATTGATATATAAATTATGAGGGTTAAAATTTGAATGTTTTTAATTAAATTTTAACTTTTTAAAATAGTTTAATTAAAATATTAATGAAACCATGAATTTGTCATATAAATTGGTTTCTAGAGTATAAAGTCGTGATGAGAATTCAGACAAAAATTGCAAATGAAAAATAAACGTTTATACAGTTTATAATAACTTATTTTATATCTTGTTCAATACAGATCGAGAAGAAGAAAGTGCCAGGCTGAATCTCAAAGTTTATCCAACTGATCAAATTATTAATGAGAGTAAGTAGTTCATTCATATAAATTTAATAAATGTTATTTTAAATTTATATTTTAAAAACATATTATATAAAGATTCTCTTTATTTAACGATATCATTTAAGCGAAGGGCAAATTAAAATAAAATAAATCGGTAAATTGTATTATCTATTTTTCTTTAGAATCCGAGGTAGTTTTTCAATGCCGTGATGAAGGTCTTTTAAGAGCAAAAGTTCGATGGATTCGAGGTAATAATCGACCGCTTCCTCCGGGTAGTCATGTAGACAATGGACGCCTTGAAATTCCTAACATTCAGTTAGAACATTCAGGAAACTATATATGCGAGGCAGAAAAATATCTACATCTTCCTGGATCTCAAATTACTGCACAACTTACAGTTGAGAAATGTAAGATAAATATTATGCTTATGATTATTTAATATGATTGTTTACGAATACAATACCAACAAAAATATTTAGAAATTAGGAGTGATTAGTATATTTAATAAATATGAAAATCTTAAAGAAATTCTACTTTGGTTATACGAATTATTTAGATTATTTGTGTTGTAATTAGATAAATGATAAGAAAACCGAGTAAGACGTACTAATATGTAACTATTTAATGTATAATAAATTTTTTTTATTTCTAATATATTTTTCATATTCATTGTATTCTTTTATACAAGTGGCTCAAGACAATATCATTTTTTTATAGATAACCAATCGTGGTATGAATCTTCAAAGTCGTGTAGCGAATACGAGGCAACGTGTTCCAACGAAGAATGTATCCCTAAAAGCGACATATGCAATGGTAAAATTGATTGTTCTGATGGATCTGATGAAATACATTGCGGTAAGTTTATTTTTATAGTTATAATTCAATTAATGTAAAAAAGACATGTATATAAATTAAAAGCACATAAACTTTTTCAATGTCTTATATTTTAATTTTATAATATGACTTTAAGGTCATCATGGGTGCGAACCAAATGAATTTCGTTGTTCAAATAAGCAATGCATGAGTAAACTTTGGCGGTGCGATGGAGATAAAGATTGTAGCGATGGTAGTGACGAAGAAAATTGCGCTGATTTATCATACAATGCACCTTGTTATTATGGAGAATTTAAATGCTCAAGTAATAATCAATGTATTCCAAAGAGTTATCATTGTGATCATGAAAATGATTGCGTGGATGGTAGTGATGAAATCGGATGCTGTGAGTAACCTAATCGACATTTTATTTGAAAGAATCTAGAAATACATTTAAAATACAGTCATAAATTTATATATTTACTGATAGCTTTTTACTATAAATATATATATATATATATAACAACTTGATGAATTTATTACATTTTACAAGCTTATAGCTTAAATTTCAAAATAATTATTAAAAGTTGGTTTTTAATTTTCTACAGCCCCTGTGTATATTTTAATACCACCACCACCAATGATGGTTCTCGATCCAGGCGATACACTATCATTAACTTGCACAGCTATTGGCATACCGATACCGGAGATCAATTGGCGTTTGAATTGGGGGCATGTGCCTCAAAAATGTTCGATGACTTCAACTAATGGAACTGGCACTTTAACTTGTCCAGACTTGAGAGTTGAAGATCAAGGCGCATATTCGTGCGAGGGAATTAATGTAATGGGTTTTGTTATTGCTGTGCCTGATACTATTCTAGTCGTTAAAAATACAAGCATTTGTCCATTAGGAAAATTCAATTCTGAAGCTAATAAAGTTGAAGATTGCATTTCTTGTTTCTGTTTTGGAGTGACAACTGAGTGTGGAAGCGCTAAATTGTTTACACATCAGATTCCCCTGCCTGTTGATCGTTATAAAGTTGTGCCTGTTGAAATAAAGCCTAGAATAACAGTTCTCTTAGATACCAATGTTACGCAAACGGTTCCAATAGAACATGATGGAATTCATGTTCAAACTCTTAATAATGAAGTAAACAAAAATAGTGTCATTTACTTTGGATTACCAGATAACTTCAACGGTAATCAATTAAAATCTTACGGTGGATATCTACAGTACGATCTTAGATATAATAGTTATGGCATCGATAATGAAGCACCTTCCGTAATAATTATGGGAAATGATATAAGCATTTTTCATACTAATTCGCAATTTTTCAATAATCGTGAGTCAAGACAAAAAATCAGATTCGTTTATGGAGAATGGTACAAGCAGGATCGTAGAGGATCAATTTTAGCATCTAGAGAAAATATTATGATGGTTTTAGCAAACATCAATAATATTTTAATAAAGTATGTATATATTTATAATGCAGTAAAATCGTTATTTTTATAAATTTAATTTGTTTTGAATTGAATTGAATAATTTGAAAATACTTGTTTTGCGAATATAAGTTATACAAGACGAACTATGTATCTATGAAATGTATATCTTTATATATATATATATATATATATATATATATATATATATATATATACATATGCATATACATATACATATACATATACATATACATATACATATGGGTATGTTTACTTTTAGAGCTCAATATGAGAATTCGCCGCACTTAAATGTTTCCATAACAAATGTAATTCTGGATTCAGCTCGCAGTACTGGGTTGGATTCAGCATCTTTTATAGAAGAATGTCGTTGTCCTTCAGGTATGTTTAAAACGCATCTGAATAGCAGGCACTGTTTTTAAAATATATTTTATTTTATTTTTTTATTAATCTGTTTTTTAAGTATTGATATGCTATGTTCTTAAAGAATAATTGTATGATGTTTTAATCAATCGAAGGATATACTGGACTTTCATGTGAAAACTGTGCTCCTGGATATATAAGACGTAAGAGTGGACAATGGCTTAACCAGTGTTATAAAGAAAATTTACCACAAAGTTGTCCTCGAACATTTTATGGGGATCCGTCACGAGGAATTCCATGCGAAGCTTGTCCATGCCCACTTCCATCAAACCAGTAAGTAGTGAAGATTTATTACAATATTTTTGTTTTTGTTTTGTTATAAAAGAACTTTTGTTATAAAAGAGAGAGAGAGAGAGAGAGAGAGAGAGAGAGAGAGAGAGAGAGAGAGAGAGCGTGTGTGTAGCGTTGCATATTAGACGATTAAGACGTGTTTGTGAATGCGATGGGCGACTCTGCGTTGACATTTTCATTGACATTTACTGCATTTACAAAAATGAAAATTGTTCACTAGCGAAGAGTCTTCAAAGGCTTCCTTGCTCGTACTTTTTTCTTGCGATCGTACTCTAGAATTTCCTACTTCGGTTGCTCCTGAATTAACACCCCCTGTTGCAATCGATCCATTTCTTCTGCACTGACCTTGAATATTCGACGTCACCCATATATTCCGATTTAATACTTATCCTCAATTCATTATCAGTACACGTGACCGTATAATTTTGAAAAAAGCAAAAATAGAAAATTTTAACTTGTATTTATATCTGAAATAAGCTTTTAGAATAGCCAGAGCCAGAGTGTATGCGGATAAATAGAAAATATGATAGAAATTATTTGAGAGGCCATTACCTGATGATCTACTATAATTGAACTGTCATAAAGTTCACATTGTTGAAGTATATATTTGTGTAAGATGTTTCAATGGATTCAATTTTTTAAGAGTATGAATTAATTGAGATAATATTGACGTACATTGAATAATAACGAAAGTTACTTATTCTAAACATACAAATTTATTCTCATTCAAAATTTCTATTAAATGTAATGTATACATTTTATTGATTAAAATACTATAAGAATTGCAAAAAGTTACTGTATATAAATAGTTTAAAAACTGTATCATCGAGTAATAATTTCCAATATCGATTAACATTAAGTTTCTAGGGTACAGAGTAATTAGTACAGAGTATTCTTTAATTATTGATTATATATTTCGTTTCCGAATTTCTGCCTTATTTTTAACGTTCATTAGTATCTGCTTAAAATACTTATTAAATGACTGTGATATTAATGTAAGTAATGAAAAATATTGACTTTTAATATTATTAATATATCTAATTAAAAATATGTATTAAATGTTTTTTTATTTGTCATTTAATTAATAGATACATTAATTACATATACAAAATAATACACCGTAAGTTGAGAATTTAGTGCATGTTAACATTTTTAGTGATTATTAATATTATCTATTTCATTAGATTTGAACGAACTTGCCACTTGGAATTCGATAATAAAAATCCAAAATGCGACTGCCCCCCTGGTTACGAAGGAAAGCGGTGTGAAAGATGTGCCGAAGGGTATCGAGGTAATCCATTACGAGGAGAAGAATGTCGATCTTATGAACCGTGCGATCGTAGTGGAAGCTTAAGTCCTGAACCTGATCGATACACCGGAAGATGCCAATGTAAGGTAAAATAAATTAATCTCACAGTATAATATTTCCGAAAACCCACAAGTGGTAACGAGCATTTTTTATTCTTTATAAAATTTATCAATATGATTTATATTACACAAGTATTTTCACACTTTAGGAATATGCCATCGGACCTAAATGCAATCAATGTAAAGCTAACACCTTTAGTTTGGCTTCAACAAATCAATTTGGATGCATAAATTGTTTTTGTATGGGAACCACCAATACGTGCGTTTCGTCCAATTGGTATAGAAGCGAGGTATGACTATATAAATCCTTATGACTATATGTTTTGTTTAAAAGACATACCAAATTTGAATTTTACATTACAAAATTTGTTGTTTTTGTATATTGTTATATTATAATAAAAATAGTATAATTTAATTTCCATAAAAATTCCGTTTCAAATATTAGAATTTTTAAGATGCTTAAAGCACGTTTAGCTTATTACAAATTAATTTTGATAAAAAAAAAAAAAAAAAAAAAAAAAAAAAAAAAAATCAAATATGCTAAGTATATTAATATTTTAACGTAAAATAAAGATTAATTATTAATAGATTTCCAAAAGTATAATGTAAATTACAGACTCGAGTTTCATTTACCAATTCTGTACAAGGATTTCAATTGATTGGTTCGAAAGATCGTGAATCAGTCCCAATTAGTTTGGGGATTAATATAAAACCTGATACACGAGAGATAGTTTTTAATGATTTTCCTGATCGAGGAGCAGGGGACGTTTATTATTGGCGCTTACCAACTATATTTTTGGGCAATCAAATAACTGCATATGGAGGAAATCTGAAATATATCGTAAGATATGTACCTTCACCCGGTGGTTTAACATCAAGAAACAGCGCAGCAGATGTTGAATTAATTAGTGTAAATAACTTTGAAATAACATTATATAACTTATTTGCATTAATTATATGAAAAAATTTGTTTGGACTTTTTTAGTCTAATGACATTACACTTCTTTATTACTCTCGAGAAGTCTCGGATCCCAATATTGCGAAAACTTTTACCGTTCCTTTACTTGAACAATATTGGCAACGATCTGATGGAACTACAGCTGATAGAGAGCATCTTTTAATGGCTCTTGCCGATATAGAGGCCATTAGAATTAAAGCAACTTATACAACTCATACTTATGAAGCTGCGTGAGTCATATAAATTGGTTAAATAATAATTTTAATTTAATTTTACATCTTAAACACAGTGTTTACTTACAATCAGATGAGAACAGTGTAAAGTACTACGTACTATAATTATTTATCTAATTACTATCTAGTAGTTTCTCAGCTAATATCTAAAAGTCATAAAAATATTAAAACATTACATATTCAAAGTTGTATATTTAAAAAAAAAAAAAGAAACGAAGAAGTTATTTGATTGAAAAATTGTCATATCGCTTACTTGTCTTTTTCTATTTAATTTATGAATATTGTAGATTAGCTTATGTTTCATTGGATATTGCTGAAGAATTTAATACAGGAAAAGAGCGTGCTATTGAAGTTGAAAAATGCAGTTGCCCGGTTGGATATCAAGGTCTTTCTTGCGAAGACTGCGCATCTGGTTACACCAGAGCCATCGAAGGCTTATATCTTGGAATTTGTGAGCCATGTAAATGTAACGGTCATTCAAATCAGTGTGATCCAGAAAATGGAGCATGCGAGGTAAAAGCTAATATAATATTTATATTTATGTTATATCGAGTCAGAAGATTCTTATATATACATATATATATATATATATATATATATATATATATATTGCTAAAAGATATTGTGTAAAAAATCACAACAAATATGGCAATTATCAATGTCGATTTTCACAAGCTTGTTCCAATTAAGACAATCTTATAATTACTTACTTTGTTTATTTAATATAAGATTAGATTGCTCAAATATTACAAATTATTTAATTTATAGAATTGCGCTGATCATACAACGGGAGAAAACTGTGAATTATGCGAATCTGGATATGTAGGTGATGCTTTACGTGGCACTCCAAACGATTGCCAAATAAAAAATGGTTCAGTTATTCCATGCCATTGTAATGTTCTTGGATCAGAATCAAGTAATTGCAGTAATGGCCACTGTGAATGCAAGCGGAACACTGAAGGTCCCGATTGTGGTCGTTGTCGTTTTTCAACGTTTGGATTATCAGAACATAATGCAGACGGTTGTAACGAATGTTTTTGCAATGGCGTAACCAATGAATGTCACGAAAGTTCCTTATACATTCAACAAATTCCTATATTTTTATATGACAACCAACATGGATTTACATTGACGGATTCGTAAGTATGCAGTATTCTTTAAATTCTCGTGTATGATTTTTTTTTATTCATCATATTTTATAAATTAAAGTACTACTAATAAATAATTAACTCTAACTTCAATATATATATATATATATATATATATATATATATATATATATATATGTGGAATATATAGGATATATAGATAGTAATATAGGATAGAATTAGTAGTAATATAGTAGTAATTAGAAGTAATATAGACAGAAATATAGGATATATAGATAATAATAGGAATATATAGAATATATATATATGTGGAATATATATAAATGTGTGTGTGTGTGTGTGTGTGTGTGCGTGCGTGTGTACATACATACATATATATATATATACATACATACACACATACACACACACATACAGACATGATTATATTATTATGTTATTGCATAAAATTTGATAAATTTTTATGATAATATTATATTTTGTTAGATCTAGACGTGAAGTGATTAGTGACAATTTTAAATTAAATATATCTGTAAATGAAATTGGATATGAATTTACTACTGATCGTAATAAAAGATTATTTTGGTCTTTACCAACTGTGTTTACGGGCAATAAAGTAAAAAGTTACGGTGGTAATTTATTACTATCTCTACATATTGTAGCGCAACCATATTCCGTGTGTCATCAAGATCAAGATGTTATATTAGTTGGAAATGGATTAACATTATATTGGACTAGTTCGAAAGAAATATCTCCCAAGTCTATGGTGGTAAAAATGCAAAATTATTAAATTCTGTTTATATCCGAAGTATATTAAAATATTTTTATATTTTCAGACCTTTTCAGTTCCGTTGAAAGAACACGAGTGGCGACACATTTCTTTTAATGGTCTTCGAGTTGCAACTAGATCTGATTTAATGACCGTTCTTACAAATATTGATGCTATTTTAGTACGAGCAACATACTGTACGGAAATGATAGCGACATACATAAGTGATATTAGTTTAGATACTGCTGTAGAAATTTTTACGGGAAATCCTCGAGCAACTCAAATAGAAATTTGTAGATGCCCGGCTGGATACAGCGGAACTTCTTGCGAAGCATGTGCACCAGGATATTACAGAAATGCAAATGATCGTTCTACGAGTATATTAGGATCATGCAGTCCCTGCCCATGTAATGGAAATGAACAAAGTTGTGAATTGGACTGGTCAGCCCATGTTAAATGTAATTGTAACCCGCAATATACTGGAGAATATTGTCAAGATATAGGTAAGTATTCTGTATACATGAGAATGTATGTGTATGTATGCGTCTTTGCTTACATTAATTTTTATCTTTATATAAATACGTCGATACACACATTAATAATATAGATATAACCTATGGTAAAAATACTTTGAATTAATCGTTTTTCAAAATTTTACAGCTGATTTTACTCAATCACCTGCAATCCCTTCAACAACTACAATTCAGTCATCACCAATTGTTGTCAAAATTAAAGAACCGACAATTCAAATTGTCAAAATCGGAGATAGCGTTAGATACCATTGTTCAGCAAAATCTTTATACAACGTAAGCATTAATTATAGTTTATTTTAAATATTATTTTGATCGATATTATTATTATTATCATTTTTTCTTTTTTTCTTTATCATTACTATTTTTAATATATTTTTTTTTTTATATTAGAAAGTTTGCTTAATATTTTATATTAAAAATATGTGGCAAGTAATAAAATTTTAATTATACTTTTAGGATCCCGTCACCATAAAATGGGAGAAAGAAGGGGGTTACTTACCAGTAGGTAGGGGTATTGATGATTCGTCCGGTTTATTATTTATTAGAGAAGTTAAAGTTTCTGACAGTGGCAATTACATTTGTCGCGTTACTGATGGAGTACATGTTAGAACAGAAAAAGTTACTCTTCACATTGGAGGTATGCATATACCAACACTTTTATAATAACAAATTATATAACTATTATATAACTATATTTATTTATTGGACGCAGCATTTTCAAAATCATTAATCTCAACTAAAGGTATATTTACGTATGCATGTGTATATTTAAACGTGTATGTATACAATATAATATAAACTGAATTACTTATCATTTGCCGTAAAATATATGAAATAAATTAATTAATTTATTATAAATAAGAAGTAATAAATAAGTATTTATTATTTTATTTAAACTGATTATTATGAAATACTGTTATCATTTTTTTATACGAAAAAATACGATTTTATTTAGAGAATTTATAATATTGAATTATTTTTGATGGTTAAGTTACTTAATTATTATTTAGCTACACGAATGTAAATACAATTTCTTTTCTATACAATTTTTAACAAGAGTTTTTGTATGTATTCTTAGATTCTGTTTTGGAACCAATAATTAATATAAATCCAGCATTTTTGAGAGTCATAGAAGGAGATCCTGCAGAGTTTCTTTGCGAAGTAACTGACTCGCCTCAAGCATTAATAGAATGGATTCGTTCCGATGGAAGAATGAATCCAAATGCAACATTTGGTGGTGGAATTTTAAAAATACCATCAGTTACTGTAGATGATGATGGTGAATATAAATGTATTGTAAGAAGCCGTAGTGGTTACAGTGAGAAAACAGCACAATTACATGTAAAAGGTAACATAAAATAAGGAAAATTCATTAACTTAAAAATAATTAATAAGAATACCATTTAATATATAATTTTTAATATATTGTATAATATTGTATAATTTATTTTTTAAAACTATGAAGTTTTGATTTTCATCTTTATCAATATTTAAATTGATAATAGATTGAAACGTAAAACGATATGGTTTTGATACCACCACTTAATACGTTAATATGGTATTAGTCTATTTTCTATAACTTTATAGTAATTATAACGAAATTGATAAATCCTAAAAGAAAAATTAAACCCTATAGTTATTTACTTGTAATTTTTGTGTGGTTTTAAGAATGAAATAGGATTACAACTTTGATATAAAAGACAATATTGTATTTGATTATTTACCTATATAATACAAAGCAAAATTATAATTTTGTAAACAATTTACTTGTCAAATCATGTGGATGAAAATTAACTCTTTCAACTTATAATAAATATAAAATATGAAATAATTTCATAAGAAGTTGTTCTCTATTCATTTTCATTTTATTATTTGATTTCATTTTATTCATTTTTATTCATTTTTATATATCTAGATTAACAATAATTTAATAATATTGCGAAAAATAATTTCAGGTATTGATTATGATCCTTCTCAAGAATCAGACATTGTCGTTAACGTATCACCTTCAAAGTGGTCCGGATTTAGTGGTGATACAGTAAAATTGGCTTGTGATACGTCAAAACCAGTACAAAAAATTATTTGGAGTCGAACAGATCGTTTAACACTTCCAACTGCTGCTGTACAAAGCAATGGTGTTTTAATTATTTCGAACCCTGCATTAAATGACGCTGGATGGTATATTTGTACAGCGATATTGTACGATGGAACTGAAAAGAGTGTGACTACTTCTGTAACGATTCATCCACGCCATAATATGCCGATTATTTCTATTGAGCCACAAAGACAAAAAGTTCCTCAAGGATCGACAGCCACAATTGAATGCAGAACGGAAGGTGACGAAACAAACATTAAATGGATGAAGAATAGAGAATCTAATTTAGGTTCTAACGTTCAAGCTACAGGCAATATTTTACGCATTAATAATATTCAAATAGTAAATAGAGGTGTTTATACATGTCGAATCAGCAATAGTGAAAAAGGAAATTTCGAAGCTAGTGCTATAATTGAAGTAGAACGTAAGTTAACGACATTATGTATATATATATATATATATATATATATATATATAAAATCTTATGATAATATAAATGGAAATTATTATTTATATTTAAATTAATTGAGTTTTCTTTATAATGTTAATCTTTTACAAATTTGAAGTAAAATACTTGTAAGTGACAGGGTATCGTTGATGATGATATCATTTTTTCAAAACAGGCCTTTCAATTTAGCGAACTTAGCATTATAAGAAAAGTCGATAAATTACAATCTGCTTATTTTTATTTTAAATTACAAAATGATTTTAATTTACTATATATTATCAATAATTATCCATACGTATTATAATCAGACCTACTAACCTTTAAAATATTCAACAGCTCGGGAAATGCCTATTTTACAAATTCATCCGCATGAATCCCAAACGGTCTTAGAAGGTAATACAGCTGATTTCCATTGTCGTGCAATCGCTGGTATTCCGACTCCAGAAATTAAATGGACACGTCAGGATGGCAGACCACTTAGTTTTAATGCACAAGTTGCTTCTGATGGAATGCTAAGAATCAATAATGCAACGCATTCTGATGGAGGTACTTACGTTTGTGTCGCTGAAAATCCTGTTGGCGTAACAAGTCTCAGTGTTAATTTAGAAATTAATTCATTCCCTGTTATAATCATTACTCCTCAAAATGGCGTACTGCAAATGAAATTAGGCGATCCATTACATCTTACATGTACTGCAACGGGTTATCCTTCACCAATTGTGTCTTGGAGTAAAGATTACGGTCAAGATCCTAAAGAACGAACGATTATGTAAGTTTCATTTATTATTAATCTATTTTATTTTATAATTTTTTTTAATAATTATAAATAATATACATTTTAAAGAGATAGCTGCAATCATTTTGTAAAATAATATATTTAATTATTATTCCAATAATAACATTATTGCGTAATAATTATATTATATGAAGCGAAATTTTTTATGTTAGTTAATAGAATTTTTTTGTGCGGATTTATCATACTTGGTTATTCAGTTGTACCATGCAATGCACTAAATTATACTAAGATTTTTGACGCTGTAATCGGTCACCAGTGAGTCGCGAATTTCCTCACCTATGCTTTCGTAACGGTTCTTCATATTACAGGACGAGCTAATTGTATATATATATATATATATATATATATATATGCACTCTCAAAGGCGATTTCGTTCGCTAGAAAACTGAAAAGGAAGAAATTACTCTTCTCTTTTTTCCTTTGTAAACATGGCTTGAATCTTTACACTTCCTTCAACCTTCTTGTTCATTTATCTTCATTTTTTTTTCATCTTTTTTATTTTATTCTTTTTCTAATTTATCTTCATTTTTACTCTATTTTGTTACTAATGCGAAATCCTGTATTTTGAAGTTTTCATTTACGTATCCATTTTTGTCTCAAGAATAATTTATTTGGTCATAATAATTTATCAATAATAAACTATTTGGTCTTTTTGGTCTTTTGATTTGTATTGAGAGGTTGTCGAAATTCGTTAATATTTGTTGGCTTCAAGTATAAAAAGTTTGTACTATTTTAATAAAAAAAAAAAAATTCTAATGTAATTATACACTTATCAAGATAATGAATGCATTTCATAAAAATGTTCAAATAAAAAATTTAATATTACTTCTAATGACTACCTAATATCATATTTAACTATATTAAAAAAAAAATTACCTTATTTTACTTTACCATTATAAATATTTAATTAGTTCACACTAATAATTATATTATTAAAATTATACGTACTTTTCATGATTTAATTGGTGCGTTTTATCATGGTAGCATTAAAATACAAAAATTTGAAAAAATGTATTATATTTTATTATTTTATCGATAATTTTTATATACCTTTTTTAGTTAATAAATGTACTTCAATAATTATTTGCGTGCACATTATATGTTATAAAATTTTTAATATAAATAGTTAAATGTATAATACGGAAATTATGAGTTCAAGTTACATTACAAAGTTAACTACCTTTTTTGATAATATACAATAAAGGGGTTTCAAGTGCTTTTTAAGACTTTTTAAAGACCTCTACGTTTTGTACATAAAATATTTATAGTTATTTTTACAAAATCAAATGCAGTGGGTATTTTACAAATTTTATATAATATTACAAATAAAAAGACAATAACATTAGAGAAAGTAAATTGTATTTTATAAAATATTGTGTAAATTTAATAGTTTACTTTTAATTTAAATATTATTGCTGGACCATTACATAAAATAATAATAATTTTTAGCGATCCTTATAATTCTGGAACTTTTGGGCCATCTGCTACTATTGATATTAATGCTGTATCGAAAGAAGATGAGGGTACTTACGTATGTAAAGCAAGTAATTCTGCTGGAGTAATTGTAGACTACGTACAATTAAGAATAGAAGATGATATAAATTCAGTTGATTATCCAGATAATTGCCGAGGAGATCCATATTGTTATGAAAATATTCCTCAGGTACATAAAATGTACAATTAGCATGATATAATATTATTGTGATTATAGAGTATACATTCACGACATAATATTTATAAAAATAAAAAATAATAGATACATAATGAAAAAATTATATTTTATGTTTATGCTTGATTAGGTTTTTAATCAATAATAATATTTATTTTAGAATTCAGAGTATGGATTTGTAAATTATCTTAAAAGAAAAATCTTTATATTAAAACTAAATAAATAATAAATACTTACATGATAATTTAATCACTACTCATATACATAATTTAAGCGTAAAATAATAAACTCTATTTTGTGAATAAAAGAAGTTTCATACTTGTTTTGTAGGTAAAACAAAACAAGCATAGTTCTTTGCTTGTAGACAGATTGTCAAAAATTCCATCCGGTGGAAAAGTATTAATACGTTGTAAATTGTTATATGCCGACGATAAAAATATATATTTGGATTGGAAGAGAGAAGATGGTCGGCCAATGCCTCTTGGAAGTACCGTTAGTGATGGAACTCTTTTAATTGAAAATCTTCAAAAAGAAGATTCAGGCGAATATACTTGCTTTGGCGTGGATCTTTATGGCAAACAACTATTTTCTGCAAAAAGTCAACTTACTGTTTTCGGTTTGTATAAAAATATTTAATTTCTTATTGTATTTCTCTGTTCTCAAGCGATCTCATTTATTTCCTAAATAAAGATTCTTTATAATTACAATATATTAACATAAAACATATTAAAAAAAAAAATATTTATTTTTTTTTTTTTTTTTTTTTTTTTTTTGAAGATAAAAATAAAATCAAGAATTTGCTTTAATAGTAGGCAATCATTATAATTTATTAATTTCATTATTATATTATATTATATTATTATATTATATTATTATTTCTGAACTACAAAATTTATTTAAGAAAATTACATTGTGCTTTTAATCTAATGTATATTATATATATATATATATATAGATTTTCCAAAAGTTGAATTAAGACCTACTAAACAAACAGTTAAACCTGGTGAAAGTCCCTCTATACATTGTATAGCATCAGGTGAACAACCATTGAATGTTGAATGGGAAGCTGTTGGTCGTCCAATACCGACATCAGTAAGTCAATCAAATGGAGTATTACAATTTTATGGTATAACATTTTCCGATGCTGGAAAATACGTATGCAAAGCATGGAATGACTTAGGTACCGCAGAATCTGTTGCTGAAGTAACTGTAGAAGGTAATAAGGCACAAAATAAAACTATGAATATGCACGTGTATGCGTATGTGTGCGTAAGCGTGCAAGTAAGTGTGTGCGCGTGTAGCTAATTATAAATTAAAAAGAAATATAAAAAAATTACAAATGCCAACTATACGAAATAATATTTACATATATTTTTTCATAAACTACATTGTGTGCAATCATAGTTTTAATTAGTATTTCAACCAATAAAGATAATATAAATAATTTATCAATTTGCATATATTTCTGTAGCATCTACAACGCCAATAGTAAGAGTACAGGCTTCAAAAAATCCAGTAAATATAGGAGATTCTGTTGATCTTCACTGTGTTACGTCAGGAATAGTAAATCCCCATTATGTTTGGAGTAAGCCTTATGAAATTTCATTGCCATGGAATGCAAGAGAAAATGGAAATATACTAAGTTTAGTCGATGTAAATCCAAGTAATAATGGTTTATACCGATGTGCCATAGATTTCGAAGATGGTGTTGTAGAAGATGATATTACTCTTAAAATTCTAGGTCTGTATATTTGATAAGTTTTATAAAAATATTTTAATTATATTATTAGATTTATTGCTAGAATAAAATTGTCTAGTGATCAATATAATTTAAAATATGCATAAAATTTATACAATTTTGTGTAAATTACTGATATTGAAGCATTCCATTTTAATAAAAAATAATTTTTGTTTTTAGATGATGATACATCAACTGAGGTACCATCTGAAGAACCTGTAGTAATAAAACATGAACAAATCGGGAAAAATTTAGAATTAGCTTGTCGAGATAATTTACAACCTCCGGTACAATATCGATGGACTAAATCAAATAGTAGTTTACCAATTAGACACGAACAACGTAATGTAAGAAATTATTGTTAAATAATTTGCATGAATATGCTATCATTACATATTCTCTCATAAAAAGAATTTTATAAGTTTAAGATAAAAAATAATTAGTTAGTTATATTTGAGGATATTTTAAGATACTCACAGTACTTGAGTAATATTAATAAGTATTGTAACAGCACTTACATGTACATAAACATTTATATTTATAATTTTTAAATTGAATTGCTCTTATTAAATTATTAGAAAATATTCATACTTCTATTAAATCTAAATCTAAATATATATATATATATATATATATATATATATATATATCTATGAAGTTTAGAAATAAGTGTATTAATAAAAATAATAGTAAAAATTATTAATTATATTTTTATTTCTCTGTTTATTTATAATTTATTGATTTATTATTGTATAAAACATGTCTAAAGTATGTTTATCAATGACAAATATTATTAAAGTAAAATATTGATATTTCTATGCTATTTTAGTTATTTTGGGTCAATTTAATTTTAAATCATACAAATACAATGATTTTATTATTTAATTAATTCGATTTAAAAAGAACAGCAATTATGTTAATCAGATTAAATAAAACTTTTTAGTATACTATATAGTATTATCATTTGCATAAATATAAAGGGAATGATTCTGCGTGTTTAAATCAATTAGTAATTTCTGTAAAAAAAAAAAATAATAATATTCCTTACATTGATAAACTATTCATAAATATTTTTGTTTAGGATAAATTGATTTTAATTGAAGTGGATGGAGATGCTGCTGGAGCATACACCTGTGTAGCGAATAATGGAGAAGAAACAGTCGAAACCTTTACTACGGTTGTGATTACTGGATTAATTCCATATTTTAGCCAAGCACCGTTGAGTTTTATTGAATTACCACCTCTTATGGGCGCTAATTTGCGATTTAACATTGAAATTTCATTTAGACCAGAAAATTCTAACGGCATATTATTATATACTAGTGAAACTCCAAATGAAATTGGCGATTTCATATTATTGACCCTTGAAAATGGTTTCCCAATATTTAAGTAAGTCCTTTAACTTTCTCGTTTTATTTTTTTTTAGTGGATATCGATTACATTATCTCTAGACATGATTATATCGGTAAATAAAAGCTATCCTAATAAATCCACGTATACAATGTTTTCCTCTATCTAGTTATCACTTTCTGTCTCATATATATATATATATATATATATTTGTTTTTCGTATATGCTATTATCGCATAATTACAGAAAATTAAGTTTTTTTTTTGTATATATTTTCATATACAAGAAATGATTTAAATAATTACGTTGATGATTAAAATAATGTAACTATTTTTACAAATAACCTTTGAATCAAATAATCTTTTATAAATTTCAATTGAGTAATTGGCCTATTATTATTATAAAATTACAATTATTATTTTTATCAGTTAAATAACATATTATGTTGTTTGAATTATTTAATAAGTTAAGCATTTTATTTTAGATTTGATCTTGGTTCGGGACCTACAATAATTCAAGCAGATAGAAACATTACTCTTGGTGATTGGCATACAATTATTATTCGCCGAGATCGCAAAGAAGGAGTAATGATAGTAGATGACGTTTATTCATATCAAGCTAGCTCAAGAGGCAAAAAGGACGGTCTAGATGTTTTTTATCCTCTTTACCTTGGTGGAATTGCAGATAATATAGTTATTAATGAAAATGCTGGTACAAACACAGGTTTCATAGGCTGCATTAACAGATTAGTTATAGAAGACAAACAAATAAATTTAATGAATAATATGGTAATGAGTCAATCAATTACAAATTGCGAAATTTGTGAATATCTTGAAAATTCTTGCATAAATGGAGTTTGTCAGGAATCGACTGCTAAAGATGGATATGAATGCTTATGTCATACTGGTTACAGTGGAAATCGTTGTCAGACAGCGGTAAAATCATGTCTACCAGGTAATTTTTGTTCCTATTCATTATCTTTTTATAATATCAACAATGTATTATATTTTAGGTATTAAAATAAATATTTGTTAAAACATTTTATTTACATAAGTTTATTAATAAAAGTAAAAAAAAATGAAAATAGCTAACAATGAGTAAATTCATATAAGCCACTGTAATACTTGGATTTGAAGTTAAAATTTGTATATATTTTATTAAATATTAATTTTAATGTAACATATTTTATATCAATTATATATATATATATATATATATATATATATATATATTTTGACCAATCAATTATTTTTATCCCAAGTGATTATTATTTTCAATCTTAATTTTTGAGTTATGAATTAATGTACATTTCTAAATGTATTTTTAGTGAATTTATTAAATTTATTAGTGATGAACTGAATGTAAGATTGAATTTTCACAAAGTAGACTATTACGACTGCGTATTTCCTTGAAATCGTATCAAATAATAAATGCAAAATAATTATGGTGTAAAATTAGACGTTCGTAAAATGTCACGTAAGTGACTACCATAAAAAATTAAAGTACTATATAACCTTAAAGTATTTATTGCATTTGATTTAAAAAAATTGAGATTCCCGTTTTGTGGCTCTTGTTAATTGCATTTTATGATTCTTTGTATAATATTATTTTTATTTTATATTTGATTATATCTCAATATATAATAATTTAATGTAAATAAGTTAAATATATAAATTATATATATTAAAATTATATAAATTAAAATAGCTTTAAATTTTTTTAATTTATTTTTCAGGAATTTGTGGAGAAGGTGTCTGTCATGAAACAGATTATAGTTATGAATGTGATTGTCCAATTGATAAAACTGGTCGCAATTGCGAAACTTCACAAACAATCCGTACACCCAAATTAAGACATCCTAGATCCTTTCTTGCATATTCAACACCTAAACTGTTAAGAAGGTAATGTTTATTAGGATAAAATAATTCATAATATCATAACATGTATAACGTGATATATTATTATTAATTTAACATCTCATTAAAAAATAAATTTAATAGTATCTTACGATGTGATCGCAAATTAAATATATATAATATACTTGTGGAGAGTAAAGTATGTTTTCATTTAAATTTTTCGATTTTTTAATCGAATCTTCATTTCTTTCTGTGAGCTCGATAGGAAAAAATTTCAATCGAATATATTAGTATTAAAATATACTAAAGAATATTAATAAACTTATTTCAACCAATAGCAATATCATTATTTTAATTATTTACTTTAAACTTTTTAGAGTGATTTTTAGAATATTTCCAATCATACTTATTGTATGATAATTAAAATTTAAAAATTATATATTTCTACTCTTCAATACAGTGTTTTAAATTTTTACATTTAGTAATATATAATAGATATGAGATTTGCAGGTTTAAATGATTGAAATAGTAATTTAATAATAAAAAAAATTCGAAAAATGATCAATCACATTTCTTAAAAAATAATGAAGTATTTCTAAATTATTTTCAATTCAATCAATTATGAATGCATATTTTATAAAGCTCGTAAAATTGTTTCTTATTAATAGGTGAAAGTTGATTAAAATATTTAATGTAAAATGGATTTTTTTATATCGAATATAATGAAACGATTATTTTTGAAATTTATTTTTCTTCTTTTTTGTTAATTATAATTTTTTATTATATCACTGTTTTAATTTTAATTTTTGTTATATCATTGGTTTTATTAATTTTTTATTATATTATTATCATTTTTAATTTCTATTTTTTTTTTAATTTCTTTGAACTATAAAATATGTAAACTTATATTTATAGTGCAATATATATTGTTTAGATTATTTTATCATACAATTGGATTTATTCTACCATAGAATACGTATAGCACAATTAATTTTATTATTTACTATTATAATTCATAACAAAATCTACGGAGATAAAACTGTTTATATAAATTCTTGTCGACATAATAAAAATGTGAGATTGTTTTTATTAAATTTATATCCTTCATTTTTTTCAACGAATTTTTTAATACTTTGATATCACTTTTTCTTATCGTCATATTAAAAATTAAAAGAACAGTTGTATTCATTGTAATGTAAACAATTTATTTTACTTGATTCCATATTGATTTTGAAAATAAAATTAAAGAAACAATCAATTATGGAAAATATAACATAAAAGGTTTTTTGAGTCGTATGTTTAAGTGCCGAGGTGAATATGCCAACAACAAAACTAATAATCAGTAATTATGTAAATAATATTATATATAAATAAACATAATGTTTTTATATATTATTTATTATTGTTAATTTTTTATTATAAACGTATTAACAATTTTTTGAATTATTACAGATTAATTTTGATGAAAATAATAATTCGAAAATGTAGATTCGTAATTCATTACTTGTAGGGTATCATTACAAGCCAATGAAATATATTTAAAACATGTATTTCATATATGTATGCATTTATTCAAAATATTAAAAAAAGTATACTTAAATTATTTATAAAACATTGTAAGGGTTAAAGGATAAACCAGAATATTATTTAAAAAGATTAAAATTCAATTATAAGCATTTTTTGTTATTGACTGCAAATTCCTTTATAAATGTTTACCGGCCCTTAAGAACATTTAGTTTTTAATGTGAATTTTCGAATTACGATTTTTTACTAATTAAAACATTCACACTAAATGCAGAATTTGTTTAAAAAGAACATCTTATGATTAATAAAAACTAAGTATTAAATTACAAGTTTGTTATTTTTTATAATTTTGACAATTCTTAAAGCTTAGAATGTCTTGTTTAACCAACGAAAAAAATAGAAATTCGTTTATTAAAAGCTATCAAAATTATTTGTTAAAAATTCTGTACACAGCGAAGAATGAATATTTTAACGGTTAAATGTTGAAAATGAACATCGTGATTAAGAAAATGTGTTGAAAATATGCTCCTGCTCAGGTTTTGAAAGGTAAGCTGTCAGTTGTAGAATTCAGAGATATTAATTATAAATCATTGAGCGTATCAGCTGTTGTATATTTTCATACTTCTAATGTCGCAGCGAATATCATGAACTGTGTTGTGAGTTTGGAGCTTTTCTGTCAAATGGGGGGTTCACTTCCCTTTATATTATTACGGGACTAACAACAACAATATTCAAGTTTGTTCCTTTCTATCAGCGTTTAGGTACGTAGCTACGGGGCTGCGATGATTTCGACTAACCCCGGCGCCAATATATAATATATACACAACACACACACACACACACACACACACACACACACACACACACACACACACACACACACATATATAACGTATTAATTTAGATATATGATCCCTGTAAGTAGCGGTATTATAGATACTATAGAAGAAATGCTTTTTTCTAAGACTGTATATGTTAAATAATATTGTTTAATATGTATAAATAACACAAAAATCACAATACTTTTATTAAAGTAAATTCTATTCCGACTAAAGTAAAAACTTTTTTATTTATAATTTCATAATACGCTAGCATAGCGTTAGTTTTATGTAATATTAATATTAGTCAATTCGATAAAAATCATATATTTTGTCTTAGAAGAAATTTATAAATTATTTTGTAATAAAAGTAATGAAAAAGTATCAACCTTCGAATACATAATAAATGCTTAAGCACTACGTACTTTACTCTTCAAAATACCTTCGTTCTCTATATTTTACGTATGACTAACTTAAAATCATTAAGATGAAATTACTTTACATTTAATGATTAAATCATACAACTAAGGATATTGGAAGGAAATACTTTGTTGTTGTACATAGTTGAATGAGCAATTCAAATTAATTTAAAAATTACTTGTTAAAATAGTAATTATTTGTATGTTTAATATATATTTTATAATTTTGGCTACATACAATAAGTACGCTATTATTTTTATTTTCATAAATTTATAAATCATGTAATAAATAATATCATGTAATAAAAAGAAAAAAAAAAGGATTCTTTGCAGTTAAAGTTTTGTTTTTAATAGTATTTTCGGGTATTTCCTGTCGATCTATTAACCATATTATTATTATTATTGATTTATTTCTGAAACTTACTTATCTATATAATAGACTATTATAGTTATTTATGGCTTAAACTAATTTTATATTTTTTTCGTAGAATAGAATTTATACAAAAAATAATATTTGAGAATTTAATCCTTCTATTGCAGAATATATAAGTAACGTTTGTAAATTCTGTTTCTATATATAATTTTTAAATTACCGACGATAATTTTACAAAATTTGCATGAAATTATCGGGATGTAAAGATAGAAATTTTATTATATATTTGTGTATGTGCAGTATATTATTTGTTGCATGTTTGATTATTTTTCAAATATATATTACAAAATATTTTAAAATAATTTTTGATCCTCTAATTTCAACTTTATTAAATATTGAAGTAACATACGTTAAATTCGAAATTTCTAAAATTCTAGCTTTTAATTAAAAGGTTTGTCATTTAATAAAATAATATAATTATTAAGGAAAGCTAATAAAGTTTTAAGTTATTTTTCTAATATTTTAAAGATCAATAATTGGATGAAATTTAATAATATAGAAAAATGTAGTAATATATTTTATGATTAAATGTAAAAACATCATATACTTTTTTGTACAGAGGAGTTTTTTTTTTATATTATCACTGGAAATAAGATAATTAATAATATATTAAATTATTTATGACGACTGCATCAAAAATATATTTCAAGTTTTAATAATTAAATAAAACAGGTTTCGCTAGTAAATTTGTCTATTATATCACACTTATATGATAAAATGATAATTAAGAATATTAATTCTTTAATTATAATCATTAGAATACAGTAATATTATTTTAATCCATTTAACCATGATAGTTGTTCGGACGGTAAAATAAATGAGGGTAAATAATTATATAGATAATAATATAAGGTATATAGGTATATAAGTTTGGAAGAAAATTTCCTTTTATGCAATGTTCTTTTGTATTACGTTGAAAAATATTTTGTAATATTATTTAATTTAATTATTATAAGTAACATAATATTATGTTCATTTAAATAAGTTAATTTTATTTATTTATTTATGTTATTTTTAGTTTTATTATGTGTAGTAATGTTGAAATACTAATTATTTTCAGGTATGGAAAAGGAAGTGGTAAAAATTAATTATTAAGTACGTATAGTCGTACATGATGGAGTTAAAAAATTTAAATCAAGATACAATATAAACAACATAAACTTGGCTGCACGCGAGATTCAAGTCATCAAAAATATTGTGCTTTTAACACACGAACATAACATATAAGGAGAAAAGTTCTTCTAATATGTATTCACATATTTTTAATAATATATATTTTTATACAAGAGTAAAAACTATTATTGAAAAAAATTCTCATATTTTATATAAATTATTATAGATCTACTTATATTTTGTACTTATAACATAACAGAATAGAATCTTTAGATTTAACATTAAAAGTTTGTATTAGGAATATTTTTGTATACATTGTTTGAGAATACATGATAATATTAAATCAATAATTGAATTTATGGTTTATTTTTATTATTTTTTATTACATCAATATAATAACACATTATATCGACATACATATATTATACAATTATATTAGAATATTAGTTATAAATAACGCATAATAATTGAAATTTTTTGGTAACGTCTGTTCAAGATTAATCTCGTTATTTTTTATGATTTTACACGCTTATATAGAAGTAAAATAGCTTACTATATTCAAATAATGTTCACATATGATTTAAATGTCAAATTTTTATATTAATAAAACCTTTTTAATTTGAATATTAATTTTGTTTTAATTTATTAATGAATCTTAATTTTAATATAATTTAAATATTACATAAATTTCTTTGTCCCTTATTAAAGTATGTTATTTTAATAAAAATTTACTTATTTAATACAAACAGTACTTAATGTATGAGAATTAATCTGTTCACATAACATAGATATAGGAGAAATATTAGGAAAATTCATTTTCGCAAGGTATAGTATTTTTTATTTACATTTCTCTTTTTCTAATTTTATTTAATACTATTTTATGATTTATGTATGTTATAAAAGTATTAAGAAAGTTAATTAATATTGTATATTAATAACGATCAACTATAATCTATTTAATATAATTCTCATTTAAATTCGATTCTCTGTTTAAAAATACTTTAAATAAAGTTTTATTTTATATAACATATAATATATTGTAAAATTAGTTTTCAAAGTTATTTCGTAATATATGTTGAAAGTATCTATAATAGAAAAAATCTATTAGAAGAATGTTTAATAATTATTATTTAAATTAAATTTTGATTGTGAATTCATTAACGTATAATTTTTATCGTATATTTTATTCATTTTTAAATGATCGAAATAAGAAGTTTTTAATTTATAAGTCTATACAGATTTTTTATTTTTATATTTATAATATATTCATAATTTGTTATGAATAAAATTTATCTATTTTTCTTTAAATATTCATAATAATTCTTCATACAATGTAAAAAGTACTGGCAAAATATTAATTTAAATGCTGCAATTTAAGATATTATATTATCATGAATCTCAATTTAACTTACAATAAAAGCTGTAAAAGTATAATCGGATAAAACTCCGAAGTTAGATCAAATTAAAATTTTTGTTCAATAAATAATATATATCTTTCACGTTATTCCTAATATTTAATTATAATTTAATTTATAAATATTTATAAATTTTCTCGTTATTAACTTTTTAAGAAAAATAATTTCAATTAATAAATGTAAATTATAAACCAATCTAAATTGAGAAAAAATTGAAGAATAATTTAGAATTTAATTTAGAAGATAGTATTTATGTAAAAAGTCTATATAAAAATTTTATTTAAATAATATTTCTATAATTATATAATCTAAAAACTATAGCACTTTATTGATGATTTTATTTATTTTGAAGATTTTTAAATATTTTATCTTAATAAGTAATAAAGGAATTATTTATCTGCCCAATATTGTTGCAATAATTAATGTTATTTTAAAAATAGTATTCAATAAATTTGGTATAAACAATGAGACAATGAGACAACAAGACATCAAATAGAATCGAATTCGATATGTTGTTTAAAATGAATTCATTTAAGTAAATAAATGTGTGATTTTTCTATAATAATTATTAGATGTGTTATAATTAATAATTAATTTTATACTATTTATCTCAGATTTCCTACAATTTTTTTTTAATTTAATAATTTTTCAATGTAATTTATTTTAACAGTTATAACGTGGTAACTTCTGTTCTCTACATTATTTGCTTCGACATATTTGACGATATAATATATCAAAAATAAATATTGATCAAATAGATTAATATTAAAAGATTTTTTATTTCTAGGTAATAGGAATTTCAAATTTTTAATCAGAAATAATAAAAGTATATTATTGTATACGGGGACAAAATTAAGGTGTACCTATTTAAATTGTGAAAATTCTAATATTGCTACGTACGATATGAATTAAAACCAAATAAAGTCTATAAAAATATTATATTTTGAACTTATTTCAATTAAAATTATTAAAAAAAATATATAATTGAAATATATTGTTTATACTATATAAAATAATTGAAATTAAAGAGTTAAATAATTATAGAAAATTTTTTCACTAATGAATGAACAGTCAATTTTATTATTTAAACTTTTTATTAATACAAGTATAGGACAGTTTTCTAATTGACATTTGAATAAAAACGATTTCGCATATTAATATATATATATTGTTATATGTGAAAGTACAAGAGTTAAAGTGGCTGTGTGAGTTTGCACTTATTATTCCTTAATAGTATATTTATAAATTTTGTATCTAAAAGACTATTCATATACGTACATATGCGCATATAAGAGTATGCAAACATAATTTAATTTAAATATCTAGTCTATATAATAGATAATATAAGTCTTAATCTTAGTTTATTTTTGTTTTTTATTTTATCAACTTTTTAGCTGCATGTTTACTAACGATGCTTCATTTCAATATATTTTTTTATAATGTCAAATAAGTGTTTCTTATTATATAATAATATAAGCATTTTACATCATATAAAATACATTTTTATTTTATTTAACATAATTTAAGAGGTTTAACTTAATTTCAATCATTCGAGGAATATCTAGACATTTGAAATTTTTTTATGTCTCATATCAATGGTTAATTATTTTTAATAAGAAATAATGAAAAATTTATCTAATTAAATTTTTTAAAATATTTTTCGAAAGCAAACATAAACAATTACATAAAGCAATTTATTTAATAGTAAACCGATGGTATACATACACATTTAAATTATATAAATAAATAAATATATATATATATATATATATATATATATATGCATATACACATATGAGCATTACAGGAAGGTTAAAATAAAAAGTATACAATTTATGAAAATCAACATTGCATTTATAAAACTAGTATTGGCTGTATGTATAAAAGAAATATCTAATTTCGTAGGAAGAGGTATTCTTTGGTAAATGCAGTTTGCATTAAGCAAATTTTATATATAACTACGAAACTAAAATATATTTATAAAATGTGTTATATCTATAAATATAGTATCATAATTTTTTACCTTTCTTATTGAATATTTTACAAATATATTACTTTATTATTCATTAAATATATTACATAGTTTTTAAAATGTCTTTTTATACTTTTACTGTATTTCAGATTGAAAGTGTCGTTAAGTTTTAAGCCTGTAAATAATGAAAATGGGATACTGATATATTGTGCACAAAATATTCGAGGCACTGGTGACTTCATAGCGTTAATTATCTTCAAACGCCGTTTGAAATTTCTTATTGATATGGGTGCAGGTGTAACTGAACTTAGTTCAAATTATACTATAGATTCAGGAAAATGGTATCATGTAAATATAAGCAAAGATTATAAAATGGCATCACTAATTATCAATTCTGAAGCACCAATCAAAAAATTATTTCCTGACGTATTACATTCAATGACTCTAAAAACATTTATATATTTTGGCGGCGTGGATAGGAAGAAGATATCAATTAATAAAAAAATAAGAGTAAAAGTATCTTTCGATGGTTGTCTCGACAAGGTGAATATTAATATATTTACTATTTATGCTTAATGTATAGAGATATACATGTGCGCAAATTTTTTTCAAATTTTCCTTTTCATTTGAGTGTTCTTAAATTTTTATAGATCATATGAAAGTTATAAAATGTTATTACATTTTTGTTCGTAGATTTATAAAATGAAAAATAAGTTAATATAAAATAATTTTTATTATTAAATTCTAGTTTTTTAATTTTTATCGGCTCTCTTATTATAGCTTACTGTAGTTCTTTTTCTAATTAATAAATAAATGAATAAATTATTGGATCTCTATTTATATGATTAGTACATATTCAGTTTTTAATAATTAAATTAGATAATGTTATTTTATTATTAAATAATTTTCTATTTCATTTCCGAGTGAAAGTGATCTATAAATTGTTAAGAAATATGAAAAATTTCTTCCAATTTTGATTGATTACATTTAATTAAATTATTTGAATGAAAAATAAAGGCGGGTAAGATTTAATCATGATATATTGTAAATATTAATTTAAAAATCATATTATTTTCTTATTCATGTAAAAATCAAAAAGTTAATAAAGTTAATTTAAATATAATTAGGAATCACGGAATAGTACAATTGAATAGATAAACTCCTCCTATAAGCGATACGGATAGAAATTCATTGTATGATATGCTTTACGCAATCTTAGTATTATAATTGAAGATATCCTTCTATTATCATTAAAGTTTCTGTATCATTATTCCAATCTTATCTGAGTCTAGTTTTCACATACAAAAAATAAAGCTTTCGCTAAACTTTGATTAGTTTTTATAATACGTGTGTACTAACTATTTATTTCACCATTTTAATAAATTATAAATTTATTTCATAAGATTACTTAAATTATTATAAAGAATATTAATAATTGAGTATATAAGTCTTATTAATAAAATCTAGTAATAAAATGAAAAATAATTTATTTCTTATATATATATATATATATATATATATATATATATTAAATTTCATTTAAATTTCTGGATTTTAATTTTCAGATTAACATACATTTTACAAAATCGGATATGCTTAAATCGTTAACTGGCTCATCAAATATAGACTCGTGTGATACTGAATTTGCTAATAAAATATATTCAAGAAAATATTTAACAGTACAGACAACAACAGTAAACTCAGTAACAAATACAGATTTTTGTCTTATTAAACCATGCGTTCATGGTTTATGCCAAAATATTAATTATAATGCATATTCTTGTATTTGTGAGTACGGTTATGTTGGCAGAAATTGTGAAAATATTTTGAAACAATGTGAATTATTAAGTCCTTGTCTTAATGGAGGTACTTGTACGAATTTACATGGATCTTTTAAATGTGACTGTCAATACGGATTCATTGGACAAAACTGCAGTAAAAGTAAGTTTATATATTTATATATTATAATTCTTTTATTTATGTGTAATTATGAATCGTAAAAGTAGTTATTTAAGATTTCTTAACTGACTAATTAAATATCGGCGTGGAACTTTGTATTTGCACAATTTTTAAATTTATACGAACCTCTCGGACTATTAAAAAAAATATAAATATATATATATATATATATAATAACCCTTTCAACAAATAACTTATTTCAAATATTTTAACAAATATTTTAAGACCTTAGAATAAGATATTTTTTTAATTTTCAGATGTTGATATTATGAATGATGTTACTTTTCGAGGAGATGGCTGGTTGGAACTTAGTAATTCTATAATGACTCATAAAGATGAAAAAGAAATGATTGGGTTTGAAGTATCCACTAATAAAACTAATGGCCTTATTATGTGGCATGGCAATAAATTCATTAAGCGAATAACTAATAATTATATCGCCCTTGCCATAATTGATGGGTAGATAATATTTCTAATATATATATTCCTTAAGTTCATTAAGTAATTTGAAAATTATTATTTTAAGCAACTAGATTTAATTTATAATTTATTTAAGTTAAATGTATATGTAACAGCATCTTATACATTAATCATTTAAAAAAATATTATTATCAAATAAATTATTATTTAAAAATTTTTAATTTATATAATAATTTTTTATGACATTTTATGATTTGATAATAATTTTATCAAATTATATTAAATATTTATATTGTAAACTAATGTATATTTATGTGTTACTTAAAATATTTTCTATTATTTAGTAATGTTTAAATGTAATATTTGTAATTAAATCAGATTCTCGATATAAGATTAAATGTTGGTGGTCTAGTTAAGAATATATAGACTGTGCAATAAAAATTGAAATTTTGATATGTGTATTATCTTCTATTTCACAGGTACATTGAGTGTCAGTATAACTTAGGATCGGGTCCAGTAATATTAAGAATAACTACTATAAAAATCGATGATGGTCAAAGACATAGAATTATTGTGAAAAGAGATGGGAGAAATGGTAGTATTGAACTTGATGGTGAGCACATTGAAATAGGTATTAGTGATGGACATAACGAACAACTTGAAATTAGTGAGAATGTTTTTATTGGCGGTGTACCCGATCCTTTAATAACATTAGAAAAATTTTATGTCGGATTCTCTGGATGTATTTATACTTTAGAAGTTCAAGATTCTGGAGCTATTAATATTGGAAAAAATGCTATTAGAGGAAAAAATGTTTCACCATGTACTAGGTACATTCATTGTTTTAAATAAAAATGTAATACATATATTTTATTAATTAATTATATCAATTATTTTGTATTACGTATTTATTTTATTATTACGATTATTAATTACATTAACTAATAATTATTACTTATTTATTACATATTTTAATTATAAATGTTAAATTATAATAAAATTTGTTCGCATTATAAAAGCAAATGAAATATAACAGTTTAACCATAGCGAATTAAATGTTTTAATTAGTTATTAAAATATTTAAAGATCTTTATTAAGAAAAAAATCTATTTTTATATTTAGAGCAAGGTGGATTCCTTCATCGCTTGTATTCACAGATGCTGAAGAAAATATGTTTGATGCATTTGTTCCGCCGCCACCAGTTAACATTATTCATCCGAAACCCACAGTAAATAAAGCATCCATTTTTTTTATAGGAGATACCGTGCATGTTTCTCTTACTCAATCTTTAATAAAAAGTTTTTTACTAAGTAAGATTTTTTTATTTGTCATTATCACTTATAATTTATGATAAAATATATCAATAACATTGGCATTATTATATAATAATTTTTTTATAATCTTTTTAATATTTATATTTAAAATGAAGCATTTTCTGTGACTAATGTACAAACAATAAATATCCTACAATTCTAATGTACATAATTTGATATTGTTTTAATATACTAACTTTAGCTATAATATTTTTGTCTGTTATCCTATAAAATTTATTGTTATTGCTATATTTAGTTTTATTAATCATTCATAAACACTATACTTTTTGTACATTTGGATTTACTAATGAATTAATATAATTAATATATTATTATTATGTACAGGCTGCTTTTTCAATTTTTTTTTTTTTTATCCTTTCGATTAAATTTAATCATAATATACAAATATGAAACTGTAATACATTGAATATTATAATATTTTAATATAATATAAATAAAAATTGTAAGACATATAAAACATTTTAAAGGAATCAAATGCTCTAGTAGACTAATATTAGTTATACAAAACGTAGAAAGTTAATTAAATTTATTACTGAATATGCGGATAATATTATGTTGGTTTTATTGTTTTATATTATTACTATTGCAAGAAATTAAAAAAAAAAAAGAGTAATAATATTAATATTTGTAAAATCCTAATATAATATTAGTAAATAGAAACAATGTTTATTATAATATTTTAAAAATTAATGAAAAAGATTGTAACTATAATTCACGAATATTTAATTAATTTTAACTATAATTCTATGTAATAAGTATAGAAACAAGAACTTTGTAAAAAAGAAAGGTTTTTAACATTTTGATAATTTGTTTTTGTATCAACACTTAATAATTACTCTTTATAATTACTCTATAATAATGAAGGTTATTAAAATCCATCATTATTGAATAATTTAATATAATTGTTCAAAACTTAATATAATACGTTATATCCTACATTAAATTATTGTGAATATTAAATATAAAATAAAAGACATATAAAAAATGTTTTAAAAGCTTTCCTTTTAGTTTATCCATAAGAATAATATACTGTAATATATATATAAGACAATAATCTAAAGAAGATAACAAGAAAATGTTACATTCCTTTTATCGCAATTAAATTTATCAAATAAAGTATTTTTCAATATTTCCATATTTTAAGGTTCTATGTATTTAAAAAATTATTTAAAAGGTTGTTATTTAAAAAATTAATACATATAAAATATTTAATGATTTTACATCAGTTTTCTTAAATTATAAAAAGTTTCAATCCATAGTCACACCTCAAATACGAGATTCTTATCAATGATAAGAAAAGAAGTTAAATATTCTTTCCGTGTACAAAACTAACATTTTCTTTATATCATGAAATACGTTTAAGTTTGGTAATTGTAATGTATATATATATATATATATATATATATGTGTGTGTGTGTGTGTGTGTGTGTGTGTGTGTGTGTGTGTGTGTGTATATGTATATATATATATACATACATATATATTTATTTATTTATGTAAATATTTAGATGGGATAAAAATTAAGTTATTTAAGTATCGTTATAATTGTTCAATATTTAATTATACGAATGTTAAAAATCATTACAAACAAAATAATAAACGTCATTAATTTTTTTCCAATTAAGTAAGTGTTTATGTAAAATATTTGTGTTTATTTTATTTTTGCCTACCATTTATATTAGTTTTAATAGAATATTAATATATATATATATAATTTCAAAATGTACACAGTGGTTTTAGTATGAAGAGGTTAAGACTAGATTATTTTTAAATGTTTATACAAATAAGGAAAAATGTAAATTATTAAAATGAAAATCATTGGAGTTTTTGTTAAAATAATCTTTAAAAAATAAATTTTATCTTTATTTTACCACTATTTTATGTGTTATAAATTATAAAAAAATGTATATACTTAAAAATATTAATTTTATAAATTTATTGAAGTAAATTTAAAAAAATCTGCTTGTCTAACTCTTATTTAATTTATATTAGTACGTTTTCTATCAAATTTAATATTATTATCAAATAAATTATCAAATTTAAATAAAATTCAATATTTACAATTTATATTATGGAATTTATTTTATGTAACAGTGATTTAAACTTAATACAAGTTTCATCTTAACTTTTTATAAATAGTTTAATAATATAATTGTATATATAAATGTAATAAACAATTTTTTATTCTGAAGAGTATTACATATTAATGATGGATATATCAATCTAAAATTTCAATTACATATCAATTTAAAATTTATTGTCTTTATGAATTTAGAATTTAATCTGTACATTTTGTCTTGTGTAAATTATGACAAATAATTTGTAATGATCACTTGAGGTTATGTTTTTTTAGCATTTATAAGTTGAATATCAATTATAAACTTCAAGCAAAATTATAGCATTAAGGGAATATACAATTTAATATTAAAAGTTTTTTTTTTTAATACATATATCGATATATAGATTTTCACCAGTTGAAAAGCCTTAATTATAAGAGCTTATATTTATAAATAAGATAATATTAAGCTAAAATTGATAAAAATGGATTCTGACGATGAATTATAATGTGAATTAAAACTTTTTGAAATAAAGATCAAATCTACAAATGTATATTTATTTATATTTATATATAATATTTGTTCATTTTTCATTAAAAAAATAAAAAAAACAAAGAACATCTATTTAAGAAATTAATATTTTATGCAATGAAATATTATTTATTTTAATATTTATTTAGTATTATTTTATTTCCTTGTGAGGTCTGTGCATTTAAACAAAAATATAACGCATTTTATTTAAATATGTCAATTATTGTTTAGAAATATGTTGAAATTTTAAATGTTCTTAATTTACTTTTCATACAGATAAACAAATTTCAGAGCAAATGAATTCTGTTTTATGATTAAATATAGAATGACGAGGAATTTTTATTTAAATGATATTGTCTCATAAATATTTATATATTTTTATTTAATAAACGAATAGTATATAATAAAATTTCAACAGGTGGGTTATTCGGCCTGCATTGTTAAATATAATTTTAATTGATTATGGCGTCATCCAATCTAACCGAGATTGAATATCTCAATTATATTTTGGGCCCACGATATTTACCACTAGATGTCACAGTTCCATTAACATTAGTTTATTTAATTATTTTTATTTGTGGTATTTTTGGAAACATAATAACTTGTATAGTTATAATTAAAAATGCATCTATGCAAAACGCTACGAATTTCTACCTTTTTAGTCTTGCTGTATCCGATCTTATGTTACTTATTTTAGGTACGTATTGTCATAATGTATTTCACCTAGGTTATTTTTCATTTAGACAAATATGTAAAAATAATTTCTAAGAGTGCTTATTAATTTTATATAATAAATTATATTAGAATACATTGGAAATTAACTATTTTGAAAATAAATTGTCATTTTATTATAACTAACATTTTTTTAGGATTACCAAATGAATTAAGCGTATTTTGGCAACAATATCCATGGATATTAGGACTTGGCCTATGCAAAATAAGAGCTTATACATCAGAAATGTAGTATAAATATTTTTCATATCATATTTTTATATTTAAATTTTAGGATAACAAAAAATTTTTAATTGTGTTTTAAATCTCTTACACACACATAATTTTCTATTCATATTGAGTTTAAAAGCAATTTTTAATTTGGATATGTAAATTAATTATTTGGGTTATTTTTATATTAATTATTTCATATTTAACTAATAAGATATTACTGTGGATCTATTCGATTGAAAATTTTTCATCTCGTTATTCATTATTATAAGAGTTTAACAAATAAATCGTGTTAATGTAACAAAATTTAAAAATCTTTTAGTTTATTTATATATAATTAATTTATTTTCAATTACTTTAAGGTCGTCATATGTATCAGTTCTTACAATTATGATGTTCTCTGTAGAAAGATATTTAGCAGTTTGCAAACCGCTACATTTCAATGCAATGAGCGGCTTAAGAAGACCCGTGTGCTTTATTTTAGCTGCATGGATTATCGCTTTAATGTGCGCATTACCATTCGCCGTATATACAACTATTAACTATGTAGAATATCCTCCAGGTAAAAAAATATATATATTAACGATTTAATAAATATAAATACACATTGAACAATCTGTATTTATAATGCGATCCGACATTACAGTATTTATAGAAATATTTTTAATATACGCAATTCCTTTTATTATATATTTTCAGATATAAATTGTATCAAATGAAACTTCTTTATTTTGTTATGTTTATATAAGTGCATTTCTTTATTATGAAAAATTAATCAAACATATTACTTAAAATCATTACTGAATAAATATATAAATTGTTATTAGCTTTTTTTTTTATCGTCCTAGGTTAAAATTTACATAAAAAGAAATGATTTGAATTTATTTTTCAGGTTCTGGAAATCATTCCATAGATTCTGCTATTTGCGCTATGTTACTAATTCATATGCCTAATTTTCCTTTATATGAATTAAGCAGTATGGTGTTTTTTTTTGTACCAATGCTAGTTATTGTAATTTTATATATAAAAATGGGAGTAAAAATACGAAACAGTTATAAGCTAACAAAAAAAATTAATATTACTTTATTTCATAAAGAAACGCAATACATGAGATCAAGAAAAGGAGTTATTAAAATGTTAAGTGAGTAGTTTAATTAATTTTAATATTATAATTAATTTATATAATATAGATATTTACCTTTGCTCACATAAGTATCAAAGTAAATTGGCAGACTATATCCATGAAATTAAAGAGGAAAATGAAAATTATAAACAATTATATAATTTTCTAATTTTCTACAAAACTATGAGTTTATAAATTCAAAATTATTTTGTTAAATGTAGAAGAGAAATTTTTATAAAAAAAATTAAAACGTCTCAGAATTTTTAAATAATATATTATCTACAAATTCATATTCTATCGATTATTGAATAAACAGCTACTTTAATAATTATTCATTAATTATTAGAATTTATTCTACATATTTAAATAGTAAGATATTTCGTTTAAATTTAAATGTTTGAAAATTAACGTCCTAGTACTTTGATAATAAAGCTTGAATTTTTCAAGTATAACTAACTCTAAAATTATTCTACAGGTATTCTCATTAATAATTTATAATGTATGGTATTATTTATATTTGGTATTACTTATATGGTATTACTATTTATAGGTGCAGTAGTATTCGCATTTTTTATATGTTGGGCACCATTTCATACTCAAAGGTTACTTTATATATATGGGCAAGATACAGATTATTATCCTGATATGAATGAATGGCTATACATTTTTAGTGGATGCTTTTATTATTTAAGTACAGCTGTAAATCCAATACTTTATAATTTTATGAGTAGTAGATATCGTAAAGCTTACAAGCAAATATTAAAGTTTCATAAAAAAAGTAACATAAAATAGTAACATAATCTTAATGAATAATGTTGATATTACTTTAATAGAAAAAACAATTATTATTGCAAGCACAGAGTAATATTATAATTAGCGTTTATGCTTTGCAATATATGTTTAAATACTAAACATATTTACACGTAATGTTTAATAATTTTTTATTTATTGGTGTAAAGATAATTTTTATTTAATTGAAAATATATTATTGATGTAAAATAATTGCACATCTCTAATGGGTCGATCATTATTAAATATGCAAATTTTTAATAGTCATATTATAAAATATTAATTAAAATGAAAGAAAAGTACATTTTACAAATAATGTATTTAGATGAAAGGGAGTTAAAAATGTATAAGAATAAATAAATGATTCTTATTAAATTATTTTATTTAATATTGATTATTATTGAAACCATATTTCAGGGTGAGAAAGAATATTATTCATGTAAACAAAAAATTCTTGCTTTTTTTACAAGCACTTTATGTTATTGTTGTATGCTATGTATGTTCATAATCAATTATAATTAAATCATAATGAAATTAAAAATTTTATAAAATTATTAAACTCACCCATAATTATGTAAAGTAAATAAAACGTATGTCACAAAGTTCTAGAATATATATATATATATATATATATATATATATAACCAAGTGAAACATAAATATTTTACACTGAATCTTGAAAGTATATAATACAAATTGATTAATTTAAAATCATAAATTATCAACAAAGAAAGCGATAAATTAGATTTTTTAGTAAATGATACGTTATGTGCACTGCCGAAGTGTTATAAAATTTACTATAAATATAAGCCAATGTATTTATATAATATTTCATAGATTTCATGTTATTGATTAATTATGATACATAATTAAATAATTAATTATGACATGTATGTAAATCATTATTATTTATTTATTTTTAATTTTAAGAGATTTCAAATTCAACATATTAAAACATGTAGATTTGTAATATTTTAATGTTATGGAGTTTTATAAAATTATATTACAGGGACAATTTTAATGAATGATTTGAAAACTTTGAAATGATTAAAAGAGGTGAGCATAAACACTACATGATATATATATATATATATATATATATATATATATATATATATATAGGTACATCGAAAGAAATATCTGTAAGATTATTATAAGACAAAAGTAAGTGTAATTTCTAATAGCATATTTAAAGATAAAAAAATTTTTGTCAATTAAAATGAAACTGAAAATAACGTTATGAAAGTTGATAATACTTTATAGAGCTACTGTCTATCCATAAAAAGCCTGAAAAACTTTAGGAAATAAATACTATCCATGTAAGTATTATGCCATTATAATAAATTTAAATCTATTATAACAAATATATTTTTAGAAATATTTATTAGATTTGTTATAAATATTTATTTATTAAAAATACTTCGAAGGAAAAATATCATCTCTAAAAGCTACAAACAAATAAATAAAATTAGTTAATAAAATAATTGTTTTACAAAAATATTTAGAAGAGTCTAGACCTTCGAGAAAAAATAGTAATAGTATACACCTATTCTTATCCAACTAAAATAAAATAAATCATTCGGAACCACATACAAAACAAATTATCATATAATTTTTTAAATACTATAATTAATTAGTTAATTAAAACTTTTAAATGTAAATATTTGTTATAATAGATAAATTATAAAAATAAAATAATGTAAAAATCAAAATTATATTAGAAAATGTTAACAATAAAAAAAGCTAAAATAATAAAATTGAATTGAAAAATCGGTATAAAACGTTATAATCGTGTTATAGTGCTTTTAATTTCTTCAAATGATAGAATAAATTTAACAGTTTTATGAAAATATATCAATACTTAACTTGATAATAATACTTATTTTTTACTTTGTACAGAATGAAGTATAATATTTTTCTATTATTGCTTGTAATATTATGTAAGTAAATATATATATATATATATCAAAGACGAACCGGTTTATATAATAATATATTGTTAATTATAGAACATTAATAAAAAAATTAATTTGTCATATAGATAATTCGTATAACATAATTAGCGTAAAAGCATTAATTGGTCAACATACATGGAGAGTAAGTGGAGATCAAGAATTTTTAGCTGTTGTGGCTTTATTGTATAGAGAGGATAGTGATTTACAACGTGAAAATATTTTTTGTTCCGGAGTTCTTATAACGCAAAGTAATATTTTAAGCTGTGAACATTGTTTTGATATTTCTGTAAGTAGACCATATGTAATAATCGCCGAGTCGAATGATATAAGAGTTGGTAAAATATTTTATCCATCCTGGTGGTTGTCATATGACCAGTGGTGTATTACTCGAAGAATACGAATTACAGAACCTGACAATGATATTGCTGTCATAAAAGTAAATAGGGTTTTTACAAAACAATTATAACAATTCTTATACTTTAATTTCTTTTAATATCTAATCTTTTTATAGATAATTGTTCATGTTGCTGAAAACATCATTCCTTTAGTTCGAACGGAAATTAGACGAAATATACATTTTGTTGGACGTCACGCAACAGCGGCTGGATGGGGTATAGTAAACACTGGTCAAACACCCATGAATTTACATGCCGGCAATGTGACTGTTATAAGAAATTCTAAATGCAATGAAATCATTGAACGTATTGAAGGGACCAGAATTTTAATTTCCGCTAAATTTTTGTGTACTACTGCCAACCCATATGTACAAATAGCACCAGTGAGTAAAATGAACATTTTTTTGTTTTGTAATTTCTCTAATTTTGTCATAAACATATATCAATAATGATTAATTTTATACCAATAATTACATTAATTATATATTATCATAAAATATGCAAAAACCTCCGCATAAAAATATGCATTCATATTTACTTTGTATTTATTTTATTCAATTCAGTATTAACTAAATATTCAAACTGTTGCTATTCCAATCTAAAAAATGCTAAGTAAATATCTAATTTTTTTTCATTACTATACGAAAGCATATATATGTAAATATATTTTATTTACACTTCATTTTTTATTATTACATATTATTAAAATATTATTATATTATTTTAATATTCTTATATAATTGAAAAATTATTAAAAACAATATTTTTAGTAAAAGAAAAATGAACAAAGACTTAATTTTGGATTTTATAGTTTTAGTTTTTTTATTTAAAAAATGATATTTATGAAAATCTCTATTAAATAAAGTATCTAGTCTATATCATTTAGAATAATGTATAACGAAATTCGATTGTATTTTATTTTATTTTTTAAATTTCTTCTGAATATATCGATAATTGTATACCATAAAAGTGCAGTTATTATATTTATTTTATTTAATTCTGTCCTTATATATATATATATATATATATATGTACAATAACAAAGTTTTGTAATAATAAATAATTTACATAAAATTAGTGGTTAATAATTAATATACACATCAACTTAAAATATTTATTCTTTGAAGAACAGTCTATTCAATCATTATTTACGAATATTTATTTTTAACACAATAAAAATTCATGTTTACATATATATATTGAATATAATTTTAAATATATTAACAGTATTAATTTGTATAACGAAAAATTATATCCTTTTTATACTACGAAATTTTGAAAAACTATTCATTGGAATCATTTTATTATATAAAATATAATTTACGTTTTCTTTAGGGTGACAGCGGTAATCCATTGTTAATTGATGGTATTCTTGTAGCCATTTCTGCTGGGGTAGTGCCCAGATTCAATGGTAATTTTCATCCCGATAAAGCAAATGCTCATTTAACCATTCAACGTTATAAAAATTATATTGATACACTCATAAGTGAGCGTTAATATTCCGAATAAAATAAAGAAACCTTATTAAAGGATTAATTTTTTTTTGTTAATATATTAAATAATTGTAAACTTATAATTGTACCAAAAATTGTCATTTATAGGCTGTAGTAGATATTTGCAAATCTAGAATAAATAGAAAGTATAAAATTGTAATCTATTATATATTACATTGTACAAAAAATAATAGAAGTCGTATATTTATTTTATAGAATACTTTAAATTTTGTTCTAGTAATTGATGTAATAAATGCAAATATATAATTATTATTTACACTCAGAATGAAATAATGTATAGATATAATTTTTCTAATGAATTAATAAATATATTGGAAAAAAATTTCTAATAAAATGATGCCATCATAAAATATATGTAAATTTTCTTTGTAAAACATCGTAAAATAAAATGCAACAATACATTTTTATAAATATGAGTACGAAAAATTATAATGATTATAATCAGTGTATGCAGAAAATTATGCATACTATAATTTCTTATTCAAATTAAAATAATATATTTTGCACTGTATTATGAAATAATATCTTTTAACATTAAAAAAGTATAAAATTAAAATTATAATTTTATATGAAAATAGATAGTTTAATTAAATAAATTATTTCGATTTATAAGTATCGTAAAACATGTATTTCGTGATCATAAAATATGAAAAAGTAAATATTATTTAATATTTGTAATAGCATGTAATAAAATAAGATTAACATACCAAATATATTTTTATTAAAATATAAAAATTGTTTTTTTACTATGTAACAGTGTAATATTAAATTCCTTTAAATTTAAAATGCTTAAAAATTGCAGTTTGTAATTGATATCATTAAATTAAAGCAGTCAATGGAAATTTTCTATGAGATAATCGACAAATTCGTAGGAAGTCTAAATTGACAGTTTATGTAATTAATTCAATTATAAATATGGTGCGAAGGTGAGGAATTACTGCAACCGAATCTAAGAAAATAAAATAAATATAATAAATTTAATAAAAATTTTTAATTCATTTTAGTTTTACTCTAGAATTTGATGAAAATCTATTTTAAAAGTACTATGATACTGTACATAATGTTTTACTTTCGTGTTTTAATGTATATTAATCGAAAGTAGATAAATATTAGATAAACATATAATACACTAATTATATCAGCTCTTTCCTACTGCTAGTCGATCATGCACTTATATATATATATATATATATATATATATATATATGAATTTTAAATAACTATAAAAATTTAAGATGATAGTTGTATTATTTAAGTTGTACAGAAATAATATTCATAATATTTTTCATGGAAAAAAGTTTATTGCTGATATGATGAATACATACTTTTCGATATAATTATAATGATAATACTACACCAATATTGTAAATATATGCCCAATAAAGTCTAATATAATGTTAATTGTCACATTACTGGCTTTAAATAAATAATAACAATAAAAAATAATAAAGTAAATGTTTGATCAAGATTTTAATTCTTACTAAATGTAATACATAAATGTTGAATTATAAGAATTTGTCTGATGAATGAAAAAATATTGTCATTTTAGAATTTGAATTTGAAAAAGGTTTTAATATATTATAATCGTGTCATAGTATTTATAATTTTTTTAAACGTTCTAGTATTTATTAATAGTTTTTCTTTCATAACTTTCTAAGATATGTAAGTTCATATTAAAGTTTGTGACTTTAAATTTTTCTACGATTTACAATATATTTTAATTTTTTTTTTATTTATTGCTTGTAATATTATGTAAGTAAATATATATATATATATAAATTAAATATAAATATAAATATAAATATATATAAATATATCAGAATGAAGTATAATATTTTTCTATTATTGCTTGTAATATTATGTAAGTAAATATATATATATATATATCAAAGACGAACCGGTTTATATAATAATATATTGTTAATTATAGAACATTAATAAAAAAATTAATTTGTCATATAGATAATTCGTATAACATAATTAGCGTAAAAGCATTAATTGGTGAAAATATTAAGAAGATAAGTGGAGATCAAGAATTTTTAGCTGTTGTGGCTATATCCTATATAAACTATACTAATTCACCAGAAGATAATATTTTCTGTACTGGAACTTTAATATCCCAGAGTAATATTTTAACCTGTGAGCATTGTTTCGACAAAACACTAAATCTACCGTATGTAATAATCGCCGAGTCGAATGATGTTAGAATGGGGAAAACATTTTATCCATCCTGGTGGATGTCATATGACCAGTGGTGTATTACTCGAAGAATACGAATTACAGAACCTGACAATGATATTGCTGTCATAAAAGTAAATAGGGTTTTTACAAAACAATTATAACAATTCTTATACTTTAATTTCTTTTAATATCTAATCTTTTTATAGATATTTTTGCATGTTGATTTAAACATCATTCCTTTCTTTCGGTCGGAAATTAATCGAAATAGTTATTACTTCGGACGAATGGGAGTGACGGCTGGATGGGGTACAATAAATAATAATGTAATTCCAACGAATTTGTATGCGGGTAATCTGACTATTATTACAAATGTTGAATGTATTAATACAATTGAAATAATTCAACATCAGAGAATAATAGTTCCTGCAAAATTTGTGTGTACTAAAGCTGAACCTTATCTTTTATCGGCACCGGTAAGTATTAACTGATGAATTTCCATCCATTGACAGTTGCATGACGGGGAAGAAAATTAATTTATAAATATTAATTAATAATTAAAAAAGAGATCTAATTAGTTTAATTAATAAAAAAATATGAAAATAATTTAATTTTATAACTCAGATATAGTAATTGCTTCTGTTTTTTCGTAACCTACATATAAAATACGTAAAAAAAAAAAAAAAAAGCTTATTATATAATAAACATTAATTTTCTCAGTCTTTTATTCTTTTGAAGATATATCATATTTTTAGTATCTTGATTTATTAATAATTTATAATTAATAAACTTATAATAAATAAAATAATAAAATAAAATAAAATAAATACAATAAATTTATAAATTATAATTAATAACGTACTTAATATTATTTTAATTAATGAAATATTTTGAGTTAAATAAACGAATATGTGACAAATTATTTTAAAAAGTTACATATTTTGACGATTTTTTGAACAGATAAATTTATAGCGAACGAATTGAAAAAATATTATTCTAAAATGTGTGGGCAGTACTGAACGAGTGTTAGCACTACTCGTTGACGTATTTTTTTTCTAGAAATATCCTAGTCTTATCGGTGCTAATAAAGAGATGAAAACGATCACACGCTAGAAGCAGGAAATTATATTATTAGTCGATTTTTACTATAACTATAATTTATTGACTTTTAAATATAATAAACCCATAATATTGCAATAATTCTATATATATATATATATATATATATATATATATATATATATATATATATAATACGGAATGTATGCCAACATTGCAAATGTTACTTATTTTTGTAGCCTGATTATTTACAATTTTATTTTTTATTTAGGGTGACAGTGGTAGTCCATTGATAGTTGACGGTATTTTGATAGCAATTACTAAAGGAGCGACTCCAAACATACAAGGATTTCATCCTTATAGAGCAAATGCTCATTTAACTGTTCAACGTTATAATAATTATATTGAAACACTCGTGAGCCCATATTAATATTGTTTCTGAAATATATAATATCTAATAATATTCATGCGATTGATCAATTATTTATTATAATATTATGTAAATGCTTAAATCTTTGCCATAATATTATATATATAATTGATATTGAATTAAAAAAAAAAAACTTTTTAAAATTTATTCTTGTTTTAATCATATAAATTTTTATTACATTAATATAATAAAAAGTGTGTTAAATAGTTCAATGTTTTTAAAATTTAGGAATTGATGTAGATAATAAATATATAAATATTATATAAATTTAAAATACAAATTTTATAAAAAGTAAATATAAAATTAAATATAATGAGTAATAAAAGCCTGGGGCAATCATTATATAGTTTGGAATTGATAAATTATATGTCCATTATATATCTCTGCAGTCACAGAGTATAAAGTTGGCAATACAATAATATGCAAATGCAGAAAAAATAATATCGACGAAACATCATTTGAAAAATTTTATGAGTGTGTTTTATTAGTACATCAAAGATTTAAAGGTTTATTGTTAAAACGTATTTAACATTAACATGAATGTTATTCAAACTAATAATGTACTTATATTAAAACCAAATTTTAAATATTATACTATTAAAGTTTTTTATTGCAGCCATCTGTTATAGCTTTGATTTCAAATAATATATTATTGATAAAAATACTGAAATAATATGAAAAAATTCCATTTAATTGAAAAAATATTTATAGGTGTAGAATAATTAATAAATTAATCGAAAAACATAGAGTTAAATTAATTTCTTAAAAAAATCTTTGCAGCTTTCTAAATTTATAATAAAATTTGTTCTAAAAGATTTTGATTTAAAAATACTTAATAAAAAATTAATATTCTTTAATTATTTTATTATACATATTATCAAATGTATTAAAAATATGTATCCATGCAATAGTATTTTATCAAAATTCAGATTACGAATAAAAAGCTTTAAATCCAAATTTTTTCAAAGGCTATACTTATTTAATGTAAAAGCTCTCGTGTCGTAAAGAAATGAATTTATAAGTTAAGTTTATTTTCATTTTATTTTCATTAATCCATTTTTCATCAAGTTATTCTTAGTATACCGATATAATTATCTGAAGCTTCATCGTAATAATAGAAGAATAGAAAATTAATTATACAGAACATATTTATATTATATTTATGTAATCTATATCTAATGAATTTGTAAAATCAATTAGCATGAAAATCAACTTAATGCATTTTATTTAATTTATTTAATTTAAAAGTGTTGTCAAACCTATGTTTAATTATATTATTATGAAACTCTTAAAATGTTTATTTGATTAATTTAAATATTTCATTATTAAAAATATATTTATTATAGATATTTGGAGAAATTTATAAAATTAGGCATCGACAAAATTAATGTGATGTATATTTTAATATAAATATTGGTCGAAGCTCTTAAGGATTGTTGCCTTCATGACGATAGTGGGACTTACGATAGTCCCCTTTTTTAGCTGCTGATGATAAAGGAAAACATAACAACTTTAATTGAATATACATCTAAATGAAAGTGTAAAGAAAATTAAAGAAGAAATCGCACGCTACTTGAAATAAATAAAGTATTAATCAATTGTATCTGCGCTTCGGTCACTTCTGAGAATCAGAGTTAAATAAAGTGCGACAAATCGGACGAGTATGCTGTGATAATAGGCAAATCCACGATCATACACGCACTATAAGGAGTCACGTAGATACGTAGACTATCGATAAGTCAAGTGCTATCTAAAGTGCGCAGGTATGCGTAATCGGTAGCGAGATACCTGGACTTTGCTGCTCGGACCGGATTTATAAAATTATTGAATATTGAAGAACAATAGTTCGGAGCTAGTTAATCGACCGGCTATCCGTCTTTCTGCCTAATATTGACATATTACATCATGTAGAATATCTTGGAGGAGGAGGACAAAGAGAACTAGATAATTCAGTGCGATCACATTTACGGTTGTAGTTTGTTTTGGATGGCGAGAGCTTCTAATGATTGCCAAACTGTGATTACCAATCTAATTGTGCATAATATTGGATTTCGTGCATCCAGACCTTTATAAAATCGCCGGCAATGATACTAAATAGAGTACAGCGACTTGACCGTTCATTGGTATCTATCCGAGATAGATTATTAGTGTCTCTGCGAGATGATAACGCTTTTGAACGGCTTTAATCGATCTATTTACGTAGTGATGTACGGCCTGCTAAAACAAGCTGTTCAACGTTGCTTACACCATTTTACAACTCTACCTTGTTTCTGGTAGAATTTACCGTGAAAATAATAATATTACAAATCAAACGAGTGTTTATAAATTAATTTATTATCGTATATTAATTTGTGGACTTTAGTTGGAAAAGGTATAGGATTTTAACCAACATATACATATTTAATTAACATTTTTGCATGTACTTGTTTATAATGATTGACAAAATAGCTTTGAATAATTACATTGCATTTACTATAGTGTAAAACAGATTCAAGCGAGGTAAGTAAATTTAAAATATTAATTATAAATTTCATGTGAGTATTAAGAATGTATATACAATGCGCATTATCATATTAATAACAAATAATTTGGAAAAGTATAATTTGAACGATTAAACAAATATGAACAAGTAATTTTTACTTGCTGTTTTATGTACATAAGTATAAAAGTCGATTATAGCTAAATTATGTGTCATCGTTGAATATATAAAAGTATTTAATTACCTATCACTAATTAATACTTATTTTTTATAAAAAAAATATTCTAACTTGATATATGTTACGTAAAGAGATAAATTCCTGAAACTATACGTACCACATGTATATATGTATATACAATTTTATAATGTAAAATTTACACGTAAGTTTACTATTACACTGGCCATACTTCTCATTAAAATTTGTATAAATTCCAAATCTAAATTCATCATTATCCTGAAATTAAATATTATTTATGTAATTTTAACCGAATCTTTGTTGTTGCTGACATGTTCCAATTCAATATTATCGTATTCCACGTTTCCATTATCATAGTATGCATAATCGTAATCATTTTTTTTCGTTAGTTTAGAATGAGTTGTAGTTTCATCAAATACTTTTAGTGTTGTAGAGTATTGCTTAGTTGATTGATTTTGATGATACGTTGATTTTTGTTGCGTTACTTGATTTTGAGGAGCATGCGTATTGACATTAAAACTATTTGGATTGTAAGTCGTTGGAAATGCAGCTCGCCTTGAATAAAAAAAATTTTTTTTTTTTTTTTTTTTTTTTTTTTTTTTTTTTTTTTTAATATAAATAATTAAATAAGTTTTCACAATAATTATGTTTAATGATTAGATATTCAAATAAGATTTTTATCTAGCATGTTTATATATGTATAATTCAATGCATACCTTGGTGTAGGAGTTGTCGATCTAAAATTTTCTGCAAGATGATTTACACTCGATGGACTAAATCCCAATCCAATTGAAGATCTGCTAATATCAAAGCTTTTAGTACTAGTTTCATAATTATCATAACCCTTTTGATGATTAATTTTTTTAGATACTTTAGTAGAATCTGTTTCGGTATAATACGTAGATTTTGTGGTTAATGTCGATGATTTGTCGTAGAACTGCCTGTTATTAATAAACTTTTTAGTTCCGGGACTGTATGTTGTTGGTGCATAAGTATTTGCTGTGTATGCATTGGAATTGTAATTATTATTATTATTATTACTATTGTAATTATCATAAGCATTTTTTGAATAAGAGGAAGAATTTGTTCTCTGATTGTTATTGTAATTATTATTGTTATTGTTAGCATTGTTGTTATTATTGTTGCTGTTGTGGTAATAGTTGTTATTATTTTTATTACTATAGTTGTTATCATAATTGTTGTAGGTTCTTTGTTCATAATTATTAGCATGATATTCTAAACTAGGCTGTTTCGTAGTAGAAGGTGTTCCTTGACTAAATTGACCAGAATAACTTTGTGATTCAGGATAATTGGTGCTAATACTACTCGTAGGCTTTGAAGTTGTTTCAAATCGATTAAAGTTGTTAAAATGATTGTGGAAATTAGTTTTAGTTGTTGTTGTTTGATAATTCGTATACGCCTCTTGAGAATTGGCAGTAGATTTTACACTGGTCGCCGTGTACTTTGAAGTTGGTCTCGGTGTAGATGTCACTTGGATTGATTTTTGCGTCGTAAGAAAAACTTGAGTTGACGGGTGTAAGCTCGTTGTCGAATATCCAAAATTTTGACCAAAAGATTTTTCGTTATAACGATTTTGCGTGGATACCGGTGTAATGGTTGTTGATTTACTTGTCAAGCCGTTATTAATCGGTTTACGATTTATCTTTCTTAAATTGACTTTTTTTTCCGGTTCCTGATTAGAATTTTTTTCAATTTCGGAATTAAGTTGCTTCTGATTTCTTGCTGTATGGTGATTACTATTTTCATTTGCTCGAGCATTGCTCTTTTTTTGTGTTTCAGGTTCCTTATAATTATTGGAATTGTATGAATTTAATGGTGATCTAATCGGATCATTCGATTCGCTGCGTTGTAAATGATCTTGTGGCTCAAAATCACTACGAATACTATCATAGTGAAGTGATTCTAATCCGGAGCCAATACGATATAAATCGAAATTATCACTGGCGTAATACAAAGTTGCTGCTTCACAGTCTACGTCGTACCAATCTGCGCACGTTTGACTTTCTTGGTCAAAAGCCGTGTCATTTGGACAAAGGAACCTAAATATTTGCATTGATTTAAATTAATTTACATATACTGAATAAAAAGATTACATGTATTTTTGAAATATAATAATATCAGGTGACAATTAAAATAATGAGAAAATTATACTGTTACGTATTATACAATTATGAAAAATATTAATTTTTATAAATAATTAATAACGCTTCTTTTAATCACATGTTAAGTTATTTTAACAGACAATTCTAATTAATATTTAAAATTTTCCATTCAAATATTATAAAATAATATAAATATCTACTTTCTTTTTGTATCTACTTTCAGTTTTAACTATTCTAATTAATTGAATAATTCCACTTAAGAATTTAAAAAACAAAATAATATACCTGTAGTCTTGAATGCTTCCGGCAACTGACACGCAAACGTGGAACAGTTGACAATCGGTTTCGGGATCTGCATAGTAACTTCCAATTATTTTATTGCGGCATGTGAAAGATGTTTGTGGCATGTATTGTTGGGAATACCGTGGAGGTGGTCGCTGAAGACCAAATACACAGTTCCATACTATCACCACTAAAACATAAAACATATATCCGAGTTTATATTTCAACTTATAACTTTCAATATAATTTTTATCTTGCATAAATACGTAATTCTATATCTACTTTATATATATATATATATATATATATATCACTTACATATCTTACCTTGTGTTTTTTTTTTATATTATTGTTGAGAAATTTTTTTAATTATTTTAAATAGTTACTTCAAGCCATGCAATAATTTATCAAATATAATTGAATTTTTAGTAACTTAAAAGGAACAATTAATTATATTATGAATTTTTCTATGAAGTAGTCTATAATCTAGATATTCTATTCGATTTTGTTATTAATGAAAATATTTATTTATTTTCCCTAAGAATTTATTAATAATATTCTTTTAACAATTTTGAGAATAATACAATTTAAAATAGCTAACAAACTGAATTATTTTAGAATAAACAAAAATGTGTTAGTTGGGACGTCTACATTACATACTTTAAAAGTTATAAACACAAAATCTGATGCTTAGAATTGAATAAGAAATCATTATATATATATATATATATATATATATATATATATACATAATGTCTTTATGATACTCTTAGTACGAACAATACGGTAAATATATTAGATAAATCCCAAATCTAATAAGTAGAATAGTAAATATTATAAATTTAAAAAGAGAAATTTTTTGTTTTTCCTTATTTTTAATTTATTTAAGAATATCATGGGTTGATAGAATATTAATTAAATTTTCAAAAATTGAATAAACTAATAAACATATATCAATATATATTAAAAAAATTAAATAATGTTAATTGCAAATCATAAAGTCTATTATGTATGTAACTAATAACGATTGTTAGAATATAAATTTTTCTATTGTTATGTAATATCATCTTTTAAAATATTATAAATTTTCTAAAAATTTTGAAAACCAACTATCAAATAAATTAATTTTTTAGTTTTCACATAAAAGCTATTTTTAAAATGTTACTAATTAAAAGTTACTAATGCTTATTGTTCTTATATATAAATAAAATCTTTATTATTTGTGAACAGTAATTAAAAAGTTTTTTTAATATATAAAGATTTATTTTTAAATATAAATTTTATTTTAATATAAATATTTTTAATATAAATTAAACATAAACTTACGTGCAATTAAATTGTAAGAGTATCCTACAAATATTTCCGATTTTATAAATTTTTTTATATTATATTTTTATTTATTTATTTTTATTTTTTTTTTTATAATATTTAATTATATAAAAATAAATGATTTTATAAATTAATATAAATTATTATACGAATGAATACATCTATATAAATTAGTATGCGAATGTATAAATTTCTTAAAAGAAGGCGCTGAAAATTTAGGCTTCTAGAATGAAAAAAATATCTGTATTTTTTTATCTACTACTAAACATTAAAATATTAAAAATTATGTACTATTTTATCATTTATATTGTTGATAATAATGTTGACATAATTCATTTTATTATGTTTTCTACATTTTATTTATAAAAATATAATATTAAAAGATATAATATTAACAATAAAATATTTTTTTTATATAAAATATTAGATTAAAATTTTAACTTAATCCATAAACTTATACATCGTAATGTGTTATAATTGATAATTAAAAATAAAATTGATAATTTTCTGAACAGATGTAACAAATACGAATTTATAATCCTTCATTTTATTACGAGTAGAACAATTCTTTTAAGTTTTATTATCATAATATTTAGAGTATCAATAAATTTATTATATTTACCAAGAAATCAATAATAAATTATTAACATAAATATTAGTAATAAGAACAATAACGGTAATAATAATATTTATATATCAATAATAATAATAATAACTACTAATGCTCGTAATGATTATTTAATTCTTTAATTATTATATAATTGTTATATTAGCAATATTAGCAATGTTAGCAATATTTAAATATGCTAGGTGTAAATCACTTATAGACTTATAGAAAATATTTAGATTTATTGAAAACACAGTATTAACTAGCTACTATAAATTTTTAATATGTAAATCTATATTTTCAAAAATTATTTTGTAATTCTCAATATGTCATTTTATTTATTAAAAATATAATGAAAATTGAAATGAAAATTTATATAAAACAAAGTTTTACTTTTGTTTATAAAAAGCTTCAAGCTCCCAAGTATAATGTAGTACATTCAAAACTATTATAATGAGTTCAAATAATAGAAAGTATACAGATTTAGAAAACAGAAGATATTGAATAAAAAATAAAATAATAGGAATAGAATTTTCTATGCTTGAGAAAAAAATTTTTAATTTATATAACATTTTCCTTAGAAGGTAATTCATCTTCCATGTAAAAGTATGTAACGAAGGAAAAGTGGAAGGTAATAGTGAAGCTTCACGTAATTTCTATCTATAAACGGGTTTATAACGTTTGTATGAATCTATTTGATGCTAAATAACTTTAGAACGATATCTCATATATTAAAACTATTAACATTACATAAGTAATAATCAATCTTCGATTTAAAAGTTCTTTTATATATAAACTTTCAAAATATGCATTAAGTAATTATATATTTTTTAATACTTAACTTTTGGAGTTAGATAAACATTTTTATTATAAATATATAAATAAAAATAATAAACAATATTAAGTATACACCTATAATTAATTAAATTATGTGGCAATCATTTTCGATTTATGCAACTAAATATACATATATGTTGAAATTGCAGTTTTGTCCGATAAGGCTCAAATGTTTTAAATGTGTTATTTCGTTATATTAATAAATAAAAATAAATATAAAATAAATAGATTAATAAAGAAAAGAATAAACAAACACCTTACGAACAACATCAAAGTTGAATTAAGTACATGAAAAATATACATTGAAATATTAAATAGTTAAAGACGTATATTTAAGAGCCTGCAATTAAGGTATTACGACGTGATAATCTGTTACTTTATCCTTTTACAGAACCGCGCTCGTTAATCTTCTGGTTTTTTTAAATATATGTTTTAGATTTAAACTATTGTCAATTTTAAATTGTTATTAATTAAATATCCTCATTTGTTTTAAACTTACGAATTTAATTTAATTATATTGCTTCATATAAATTTGTCTTTTGTTAAAGAATAAGATTATTATTTAAATAATATTAATATTTTACAAAACATTATTTCACTTAATAATATATGGACTCAATTCTTTGTTTAAAATAATTATTAAAAACTATGTAATATCAAATAATACATTTTAGAGTTTCACATAAAATTAATTTAAATAAATTATGTTATACCTACACGTTAAAAATTAATAATATTACTTATATTTTTTTTTGTTGAGTTATACATATAAAATTAAACTATTAATATTTAAATAATAAATTTAACATAATTGTTAATACAATCCATATTGTAATTAGTCTAATTAAGTAGATTAGTTCAAGTGCATACATATATTATATATCAATAATAAATTTCAAGTACATTATTAATTTTAGAAAAAGGTGTACTTCTTTCATTTTATACCACATTATATGCATTTATATGAGCGTTTCGACAAATTTCTACACTAAGAGTTTATTGGTTTCTTTAAAAGTTATAAAAATCATAAAAAGTTGATTAATTTTTTTATGTTCAACACGATCATTATAGTATAAAGGAAAATTATAGATTTATAAACATGATATTAAAACAAATTTAAAATGTAATTATTTTTTAATATTGACTAAATGATATACGAATCGTAAAATTAAGCGGTTCTTGTATTATATAGAATTATACCGTAATTTAAAAAATATAAGTTTTTAATATTATATTATAAATTTATATTAAAAGCACAAATTGAGTTTAAAATATTAGGAATTTTTATAAGAATTTAATTTATAAAGAAATATAATTTACAAACAAATAAAAATTTGCTGACATTTTTATATTTAAATACATAAGCATTGTAATATAGCTGTACATATTCAATAATTATTCAAATTATCTACATATATTTAAATTAAACAATCTTAATTTTTCAGTATTATATTTTATTTTCCTGGTCCTTTAATTTCCTGGATGCAAATATAACTTTGCTACATTGTAATTTTTCTTTTTGTTGTACAAAACAGTAATTAGAAATATCTTTTTAATCGTACTATGATTATATTCGTCAAAAATGAAAATTTTTTCGATTTATAAATTTTAACAATCCCACTTTACAGTTTGCAAATATTTAATATATACAACATTAAATAGTCATTGAATTAGTATATGAGAGAAGCGTATAATTTTTTAAATCCGTAATACAAAAACTTTCAGAAATTTAATATTAATATATCAGAGATTTAATATTGAAGCTATAATACATAAAATAAATAATAATTATATGTGTAATTAACGATACAAATATATTTCATATTACATATTTATTGTATATATGTATTATAAAGTTTTATATAAATATGTTCATATGATGTTAATATAAATGTATTAGAGCTATTGAATACAATGTTATAATAAGTGCTTATTAGAGTTATTAAGAAGTCTACATTATTTTCAAACGATATTTTACATGTTTTAATTTAATATATTACATATATCGATATATATTGACAATTTATATCGATAATATTTATTAATAATGCATACTAAGGTTATTATTTATATTTATATTTTAATTTTCAAACTATTTAAATTGCTGTCTTTCTTTTACTAATTATTAAAGTTATCGTACATATTACGTTTAATAAAAGTTTATCATTTAATTCTATATATACATATATATATATATATATATATATATCTATTATATGGCAAAAGTTAGTATTTATGTTTTGCCAAGAAACTCTTAATTATTTTGGTAGGAATAATGTATAAATAAATACATTTAATAAGCATTTACTAATTAAGGTATTATATTATTAATTTGAATAGTACTTTTTGTATTTAAACGTAAATTTATTTGTCAACAAATTTGAGGTTATAAGTCATGAGATATGGCGTAAACAAATTTTTTAAAAAAATTTAATGTCTCCTTCATAACATTCATCTTTGTATAATAATTATTAAAATATTATAAACTATAGCGAAATAAAAATGTAATAAGCATATGCAATTCTAGAGTCCTATATACATTTAAATTAAATTGTTTTGTGGTATTAATTAAACTGGAATTAATAGAGTTAAAAAGTCTTTTTAATTTGCAGGTAGCTTAGAATAATTAATTACAATCATTATTGCCGTCGAGTACTAATTTTAAAAATAAATTTTACGAGAATATCATATTTTGTTGACTAAATTGTATAAATATTGAAATTTGAATTTTTGAGAAATTTCATATGTTAGTCAGTAGACTAAAATTCTGATCTTTTAAAATCAATTCATCAGATTATTACAAACGTAAGAATGCGTATCTATATATTTTTTTTTAGATCATTAAGTTAATATCAATTATAATTATATAATACAGTTACAGTGGCATAGTCTGCAATTATTTGACTAATGAATATGTCTTAAGAAATAATTACGTGAAATAAGTAATTGTTCACTCTCTCTCTCTCTCTCTTTTCATATACGTATATATGTATGTATGCGTGTATGCATTTATTATTTTACTGCTACAGATATAGACTTTAATTTTTATCCATGAATTTTTAATTTTAGATTCGTTGGAAATTTCTAAATTAAACAAAAATAAGTTTAATCTTTTATCGAAGATGTGTAAATTTTTTTAATATATGTGAAATAAAGAACTATTATGAATGTCACGCGGTTTAATGTTATGTCAAATTTTTAATTAAAAATGTTTATTAATATATTAGACTGAACGTTTAGAGATAATATAGTTATCCACGGTTACTATGTCACTATGTTACCGGTATTAACGATTATGTCAGTATTTCAACTTTGACAATGGGCTTAGCTAAGATATTGGAAAGATTTAAGTAATTGTTAAAGTATTTATTACACGTTCTTATGCTTATGAATCACTCATACTATATGCGTGAAACTTTATTAATATATAAAAGCTTAATAAATATAGAAATTATACAATCTAGTTGATAAAATTAGCATTTTATGAAATTCAGTACATAATAAATCGTAACGTTCCTTATAAGAAAAAAATGATTTTATCGGAATGAAATGTACTGTAAATTTCCACGAGCTTTATTAACATAAGAAAAGTCGTTAATTACAGTATTAAACGGGCAAATGTGAGATTAAATTAAGACAGTGATTAAAATAAATGTTGAAATAGGTTGAAATGAAGGGGAAAGAAGTAATACGAAATGAAAGAAAATGAAGCGTTAAAATTATAAATTATTAATATCATAAGCGGTTAAAAGTAAAAATATGCGGAGAAGCGAAAGGATGAAAAAGATCTTAGGGTACGAACCTAAAGTAAGAATAAAAAGTCTCCTGGAAGCCGTCATTTGAACTTGCAATGTTCCCGAATCCACAAGTCGAAAATAAATCAATAAAATAAAACGTGTTAATTAATGAAGATTCACCGAGTGATGAGTTATCATTTAGCTATTTATCGTGTCTTGTATTTTGGCGTGCATAGAGTGAATCCGGAACCGTATCGCGAAGCGGTCGATGATGCGACTGCGCGACCGTATGAAAATACAGTTTCGAAGAAGAGCTGGCAGTCAAATAGAGGTAGAAGAAGAACATCACCATCCGGTCTCACCATCGTGATCCTTCTCCCTCATGGCTTTTGCGTTCACTCGCTCACTCTCCCTCTCGTTTTACTCTAATGTGACCTCTCTCCATCCTCCTCTCCTTCTCCCTTAATATCTCATTCGCTTTAACCTTTCTCTTTCGCCTTGTGAAGTCGCGAGAGGAGCGCACCGGCATACTAGCGCACGAGCGCAGCGGCTCACCGTTGCTCTTTTAGAGAGCGAGAGGATGAGCAATCTTCGGCTCTTAGTCCACCGTAGGAGTAGGGATGCTCATGGGTAGATGTGTAGAGAAGCCGCGGAGAATGTACTCTTCGCGAGCGAGCGCAAGATGTGAAGTTTCTCATTACGTCACACGTAAGATCTTTTTTAGTTTCTCGGTTGGAAAAGATTGTCAATGATAATTATGTGCTTATAATGAGAGGATGATTGAAGGTGACTTTTTTCTCCATTCTTAATTCCCAAACGCGCTGTTTATGTATCAATTTTCTGTCTCCTTGGCTTTCCACGTCTCTTCATCCTCCCGAACTCCCGCGATATTGCTCGCTTAACCCGTTAAAAAGCTAACTGCTTTTTTCTTATTTTTCGTTCGCATGGTCTCTTGGCCGACGTGCGCGGAGAATATCGCGGTTTCACATCGTCTCACTTGTCATTACGTAACGGCTCTTCCACGCAAAATTTTCTACCGTTTTATAAAGACGTTATCCATCGTGGCTACTTCTAAACGATTCCGTCATTTTTCTTATGTATGCACGAGCTGCTTAGTAAACATCAAAATCTACTGCCTAAACTTGGCGATGTGGATTGAGGCGAGTCATCCACAATGTACGGCAACATTAGTCAACTTTTTCAGGCTAAAGGTCAAGTGAATGCGACATTTCTGTATCTGCGGTGAGACTGCGATGGGTTCTCTCTGCGGGAGGTAGACGACCTAGTCGTCCTACATCCATAGGTGGTTGCAAAGGATTCTTCTCCTCGAAATCATTCGAGAGAACGTTACAATCTCAAATTGTTCAAATAAATGCACATATTCTTGTTTGATCAATGCGCAAATTCCTAACATAGCACTGATTACTCTCGGCTTGTCCCAACAATTTTGACTTTTTTATTATAATTTTTTTTTATTATTATTATTATATATATATATATATATATATATTTTTTTTTTCTTTTGTCAATTAAGAAATAGCGCTGGTGTTAAATTTTCTCCACTGTTATTCAATATAGAAATTTTTAGACAATTTTTGAAAATCTCTCTCAGACATATAGCATTTGCAAATTAAGTGAATTCTGTATAATTTGCAATATAGGATCATTATAAACATACTACTTATTACTTAAGCCGACTGGAGTTTCAGCTTTTATAATTTATCTAATTACTCGTTACACTTCCTATTATATTTTACGAAACAAAAATTGTATTTCAATTTCTTGTTATGCTTTAACCATGCGGTTTTTGTATTCTAATATTAAACTCATGCTTATTAATTGATATGACGTATCTTATGAAAGTTGTAAGTTTGAAAAATATAATTATGTTACGTAAATAAATGCTAAGTATATTGTAAAAATTGCTTGTCAAAACTTTGCTCAGATATAAGCAACTAATTAAATTCAGTTTCCTAGGGATTTTATTTAGCGCAATAGGCACTCATAAGAATCAAAGATTCCATCAGGAGAAAATCTCTCACGACGATTACGCATGAAACTCATCGTAAATTACCGCAAGTGTAACATTGGTATCATCACTAAGGCAGACCGCTTCAGTACTCACATAAATATAATTTAAAAAAAAATATTTTTTTTTTAATACCCGACATAAAGAATCATTAGGTTACTGTTGATTCAACATTTGTAATTATTTCCTAGCAATAAATCTTAATTGTAAAGAAATCAAATTTATTAGATTCAAACAGGAAGTAGATAACTAGATTTTGTACAGAAAATTATTTTGTAAAATTAGAAAAGAGTAAATAATGATATAATTTATTTATTAAATTTTTATTATTTTGCGTCTATTTTATATTTTATACCTTCATTATGTATCAAAACATTGTAGCATTTTATTGATTTTTTGATAGTTAAATAATTATTAAAGATTAAATCAAATAGATTACTTGGTCGGATGAACATCTAATTTCGCTCTACAAAATATAGAATAATATATTTTGTAAATTGTATAATATATGAAAAATATGTAAGATCTATATGACTTTATCGTACAGAATTATAATACAAATATGAAAAATACATTTTCAATTATTTTTAATGAATCCTAAAAACTGCATTTTTACGTTCACGAAGAGAATGATTTGTAACTATATATAAAATGATAAATAATAGCAACAGATTTTACAAAAAAACTTTTACTTTTAACATCTTATTAAATGACAATCGTATATGGATTTAATATTAATCTTAAATCAAATATGTATCGATCAATGATTTGCAATTCACCGTTCATATTTAACATGCTATTATGTTAAATATTGTTATTAATAATAATGAGAAAGTAGCCCATGTTACTGAAAAACTTATAAAAGGAGAAATAATAAATACAATGCCTAGATTACGAAGATATTTTGGATTTGTGCGCGTCCGCGCACATGTGTCTAGTACATTCACGTAGGCCTCATGCGCTCGCTCACTTGTTTCTTATGCATGAAAGAGCCTCGTAAATGTATAGATAATTCGAATGTGTGTATTCTTCCTAGAGGAGACCTCCTCACAAATGCAAGTGAAAGTTACACTATGTCTTGTTGCGATGTTTCCTTTACTATGACCTGCGGTTATAAATCCTATATACAACTAAGCGGCGTCGGCGGCGACGGTAAACGTGATATTCCTTACGGGCTACGGCAATACTATTTTTGTCATACAACAAATCATGACGATTTTGATTAACTTTCTCTGTCTATACTTACATGCGATTCTTACGACACACGCGCTTGAATCTTCATCTTTGCCAAAGTGAAAAGGTCATTGTATAGCTCGTGAAATGTCCCCGAGCGATGCGGATTCTTATGAAATACAATTTGACCTGTTCAGCACCATTTAATATTCATAAGATACGGTGTAATGTGGTTCATTTATTAAATGTCTAGGAATTGTTAGTATTAAAATGTTTGATTAACTCTATTAATAATTTATTAGAAGTTTATCGCCAATTTGAATAACAATCATATAAATAATCGAGACATATCGGTATGTAAATTAAAAAATAAAAATACATATATAATGTATAATAATTCAATTTATCAATGGAGAGATAAAAAGAAATTGTTCAAAGGATTTGATGAAAATATATCATAAAATCATTTTTTATAAATTCGTTACGTTATAGTAATAACTATCCAAATATTTTAGTATCTAGAACATTTAAATGATTTTTGAGTTATTTAAGATTTATTGTTTCCCATGCGTTGTGCATCTTAATATATGTAATATTCAACAGTTTAATAATTCATTATAAATTTTAATAAGAATGACTTCTATTATTTAAAATATTTTTACCTGCAGTTAATTAAATTTATTACTTATTCTTATGCTTTAATATTCTGTAATATAATGTGAAATATTTGTATAATATAACGAATATTGTACTAAATTTTTATTTTCAATATTTATCACTATATTTATATTATACTATACTAAAACTACTATAATAATTTAAAAGAATTCACAACTATATGAATTATTTTCATTTAAAGTACATATTTTGTAATTTTTATTTGTACAAATAAAACTCGATAATTTCAATGAAATTAATCTCACTATATAACTATATGGAAGAAAACATTTTACATAATGAGATATAAGATTTATAAACTTTTTATTTACCTTTTTTACCATTTTTTAATTCTTATCTAACAGTTTATGCCGAAGAGAAAGCATTAAAACATATAGTAATATAAAAACTATTGTAATAATTGTAAAAGGAATTTATAGAATAAATGATAATTCGTTATTTAAAAAGTGAAAAACACATATCATTTATATATTTACGAAAATGTCGATAGAAAGAACTGTATAATAATTTTTATAATAAATTGATTCAAAATTAATAAAAAAAAGATGTAACTTTTTAGTTTTATCAAATTTTATATCCATTCATTTTTCAACTTTATTGAAACAGGCATTTTAAGCAGTAACACTTATGTATTTAATAGCAAAAGCAGATTTCGATAAAAGAAAGTGAAGGTGATGTAGCAGACTTTCTTATGTAAAGTAGCTAACAAATATGCATGAATACTTGTTTATTATTCAGTATTTTATTTACATTATTTATATTATATATTAATTAAATAATTAATAATGTTTCATTTACTCTTGAGTCATCGTATGCATTTATTTTTTCCATGAAGATTTTAAGACACAGATATTTGAAATTAAATCATTGTATTCGTAAAATAGAAAATTAATTACAAATGAAATAATATACAAATATAGAAAAACTGATTTTTAATTACAAATATCGAATGAAGATGATTATATGTAATTTATAAATGTCGTATTTTTCATATATATGTTCCTTAAAAATAAAAGTCTGAATTCAGAAATAACTTTTTATACTTTCATGATGACAAACAATCACCGACGTAACCAGGAGACTGTTCTTTCATTGCTAGTAATGTGCAAGTAGCATCCTTATAAAGCGAGAGTTCTGTATTGCTGGAATGCGGTCCAGCACTCCCTTCGAATGTACATTCTCAAGAGTTTCAAGAAGTTCAGCTCTTCGCTAAATAATTTATCTAGTTCCGTTTTCTATAATTTTTCACATTCGATGAATACTTGCGACTTCACAGTTTACAAGTTGTAAATTCATATTTCAATTTATTTTATTTTTATATATAATTGCATTTTTGGGAGTATAATACAAGCATTTTAACGAAATTGTTAACAAAAAAAAAAAAAAAAAAAAAAAAAAAAAAAAAAAAAAAATGAAAAAAAACTAATACGGCAACTTATAAAAGTTATTTGTGCATTTAGAAATATTAGCGAAAGAAAATATTCTTATATTTTCGAAGAAATTTTAAATCATACGCTATTTGTTGAAAAACCCTATATTAATTGTTATTGACGACTGAATAATTTGAGAAATAATT